TCCCACACTGATGTCTCTTGAACAAGAGACTTTTCTAATACTCCTGTAAGAACCCGCCTCACTCAGTTCTCCCAAGAAAGCAGAACTCTTGAAATGGCCTTATTTCAAAAGGAACTTTTATTGGGAGGTGTTGACAGCAGGAATAGAAGGCAGGATCTGAGGGTTTCCCTCGTGAATCAAGTAGTTAAAAGTGTCCATAGTAATCCCACCCTAACTCTCCATCCGGACTTTCAAACAGGCCAATCCACAGGTGAGAAAATGCTGTGGGAGCGCCACTTCCGAGGCTGTTAGGTGTCTGTGCTGTTTCTTCCACGCTGGGAGATAAGGCCGATAGCCAGAGGTACATTCCATTCTCACCCTGTTAGAGACACTTCAAAGAGGACAGAGCAAGAGGCAGAGCAAAGCAAATACACATTGGCACCTCAAGCTTCCCCCTCCCTCCCAGGAGAATGGCAGAACCCGAAAAGAATAAGAAATCCCAGGCACACAGAACGTAGGGTTCTGACAACTCCTTTTATAGCATTCTATCACTTTTACGCACTGGGTTATGGATGCTCAATTCTGCTGAGCTCTGTGCTCCCCAGGGGAAAGAAGCTACCCAAGACCTTTGTCTTTTGCAGGAGGCCTCAGTCAACTATCTCCAGAGCCCCCAGAGGAGGGTCAGGCGGGAATCTCCTGCCCAGGCAGCACCACAGAGACCACACCTGTCCTCTTTAGGTCGGGGGCTTTTGAAGGCAGCTTGCCAGAAACATCATGCTCCAGAAGGACCCATCCGTCGGGCCGAAGGGTGCTCTTTAATTCCATGGAGCCTCCTCTGGGGAGGAACTGCAGCCGGCACTCGCCCGGTGGAGCCACCGGACGGCAGAGAGAGATGCTCTCTTTGGCAAAGAGGGGAGAAATGGCGTGGGAGGTGCATGAGGGAGAGCATCAGAGGGCCACAAACCCAGGCTCAGAGTCCCCGGGCTTTAAGAGAAGCAGCAGCCTCTTGGACGCTGGCCAGTCCTCCCTGCAGGCTAGCCAAGGAGGAAGTGGCGATGCTTCTCCTAAAATGTCAGATCCAGATGATGAAGAATGGATGCAAACTGATGTTCCTGGGGTCACGCAAGCACTTCCTTGTTTCCTGCCGCACCTGAGTCCAGGATCTTTACTTGACCCGCTGAGTGAAGAGAGAGTTTCTGGTCTAGAGGACTCGGCTGCCGTGAGCGTGTCATTGTGTGCCAGTGTGCGGAATGGGGAGAAAGAAGAGGAGCAGCCGGGATGGGGGGACAAGGAAGATCCAGGAAGGTTGGCAGACCCAGCGGTGACCCCCGACGCTGCTCAAGGAGACAGGACTGTTCCTGACCGGCATAGAGAGGGCGTGGACCATGGAGATCCCCCCAGCAAGAAGACAAGTGGAGAGGACAAAGGGCGCAGCCTTGAAGTGGGGCCACCCCCCCTGGGAGGGCTCAGCCCCAGTAAGGAGGTGCTGGGCTCTTGCACGATGGTTGAGGGACTCATGTTTCCCCTTGAGTATTATGTGCGGATGACCCGGCGACTCTCCAGGCGCCAGGAGGAGGTGAATCTGGAGGTGGTCATGCAGAGCCAGCTGGGCAAGGGCAGGAAGGGCCGGAGGGTGGCCCCCAAAGAGCAGGTGGCGAATCGGGCCCAGCCCTCCCAGGAGCTCCCCGAAAGTGACAGTCGACTGAGCTCAACTCCCAGGGTGCCCGGGGAAGCTTCTGGATCCCCACCCCTCTCTCCAAAGAGTGCCGGGTCCAGCCGAGGCTGCAGCCAGGGCAGGAGAAGCCTGAGGCTGAGAAGGAGGACCCAGCAGAGGACTTCCTCCAGCACAGGTCAGTTGTTGATCCTGCAGAAGAATTTCAGAGGGGGGGGGGAGAAAAGGGCTCACGTGGAAGCCAGGCAGCTGGTGGCCACGTGGGCAAGCACAGAGGCCGGGAGGGGCTGGAGGGGCCAGTGTGAGCCCGGGAGGGGTCTGAGGGTCAGGGGCCCCAGAGCTCTTTACCCAGCGGTGGGAGAAAACCAGGGGGTTGATGGGGAACGGCCTCTCTCTGCAAGGGAGCCTCCTGGGCAGGCTGGGGATCCCCCTGGCACCGATCCCAAGAGGATCCCCTTGCCTTGCATCTCAGGGAGACCAGCAGGGTCTCCAAGGGGGAAAGGGGCCTCATCCTGCAGGACTTCCCAGACAGCCTTCCTGCAGGGCTCACTCCCGGTCGGGTGGAGAGCGGAAGCCCCCTTGTGCCGAGGGCGGAGCCTCCCAGGCAGGCCAAATGGATCCTCCCTCGGGCGGGGGCATATTGGGAGGTGGCATGAAAAGTTGTCGGCTTATAGTGGAAAATAAAGGTCCACGCAGCACACCAGCCTTGTGCGTCCTTCAAAGGCCGAGGGTGCCTCCGAGTGGGGTGCAAGGCCGGGGGCTGCAGGAGGCCTGGGGGACGGGGCACCCTCCCGTCTCCGTATGAGTTGCAGAGAGGGACGAGGGGGGGGGGCTTTTTCGGTCAATTCCTGGGGGGCTCAGAAATTGAGGTTTGGCTCTTGGAAGGTTCTTTTGTTTGTCCCACGTTTGCAGACGGAGGACTCAGCCGGCCAGTGGGCTCCCCGGGTCCGGCTTCTCCTGGCCTCTGGAGGGGGCTGAATTCTGCCGCTGCAGCTTTGCCTCTCGCCCCCCTGGGTGGGGAGGGGTCCCGCCTCGGCTGGCTGCCTCCCGGCCTGCCGCACCAAGACTTCCACCTGCCGGATGAGGATTTTGGCCACCTGAAGTCCAAGAAGCTCAAAGTCCGTCCCGAGAAGCTGTTGGGGGACTGGGATGCTGGCGGATCCAGCGAGGGTCCCCCGAATCCCTCTGGGGGGGCTCCTCTCGAGGAAGGAGCAGCATCGGGACAAATCCTCCTGTCCGGAAGGAGGGGGACCCCCCCGGCTCCTTCTTCCCGTGAGCTGCTCCTCTCCCCGGCCTTGGACGGCGGACAGAGCCTTTTGCAAAGCCCCGATTTTCCCCTGGTGGGGGCCACCCCGGCTCCCCTGGTCTCCCCAGATCCCCTGGGGGCCTCTCCTTCGCAAGCAGCTGCGGCAGGGTCTGCTGACCCGGAGAGGGGCAGGGGGCAGCCTCGCTCGCCGGGCCCAGCTGGAATCAGCAGGAGAGCAGGGGAAGAAGCCGCCAGCCCACCTGAGAAGCCGCTTGAGCATGACCAGGAGCCCCCCAGGCAGGTAAAGGGGATGCATCTGGGGCGCCCAGGTTGCTGAGGTGAGACATCCACCTTGGGGAATGCAAGGAGAGCCGCAATTAAAATCTTGGCAGAAAATCTTTGTACACGGGGAGGCATGTCTGAGTCTCCCTTGGCACCCTCCTCCTTGGCTGCCCCCACCCCACCCCAAGCGTGGCACCTCCGGGTTTTGCCCAGCTTAGTTCCCCAAAGGAGGTCAATCCTGTGCTCTAATTCCCTTCCGGACTCAGTTTCCCTGTTCTCTTGTCCCAGCGGCCACTTGGCCGGTCATTCTGCTCTGGTTTATTCCTCGGTCTGTAGATTTTACTCTCCTTCTGGGCCTGGGACTCCCTGCTTGTGACGGTCAGTGGCCACTGCCCTGACTTTGTCAGCTGCCCTTTTGTCCAACAAACTGGCCTCTTGGAGCAGCTGATGGCTGGCATTTTAGAAGGCCTTATTGACCCATCCTGAAGAGTTTGATTTGGGAAACGGCCTGGCTTTCCTGCGCAAAGCGCGTGTGTTGTGGTGGCAGGCAGCCGCAGCTCCAAGTATCACATATTCTGGACCACTGTCCTACTTTTCCGAGGAATTGAGTTCAGCTGGTGAAGGCTGTGGTTGCTTTCCTGCCTGCCACCCTCTGTTCCATCTGTCCAAATGAAGAACCGACCCTCCAGCGACGGAGCCTGGTCTCCCCTACGGGGCCTCCCCTGCTTTTGCGGTGGGGCGAGGGCAGAGGGAGCCGCCTTCCGGGGCTGCGGGAGGAAGGCCTCTTCCCAAAGGGCCCTGCGGGAGTCTGACCTGGCTGGGGCATCTCTTGCGCTTGTCTCCACAGAGCTGCCCAGCAGAGGAGGTCCAGGGGGAAGCACCAGCAGGCACGCCGAGGGAAGGCAACTTGAAAATGACTTCAAAACTGAAGGTTAAAGGAGAAAGATGGTTAAAGTACTCCAGCATTTTTGTGCCACGAGAGACCCCCCCAGGGTTGCCCTGATAATGGACTGCTTGTCACCCCCATCCTGCCCTGGGGGAAGGCGCTTCCTCCTGAAGCGGGCAGAGCCTCCGGGGTGGGGCTGGGCTCTGCCTGCTCTGCCTGAGGGACAGCCCCAGACCCGGCTTGCTGTGGCCTTGGCTGGGCTGGCCCTGTAGCCGAGCGGGCATTTGGCCAGTTGGGGCCCTTTCCAGCAGCAGCTCAGCCCTCCTCGGTCCTGGGACAGGATCTCCCTGTTGCAGCAGGCCTAGGAGGGAAACTGGGGCTGCGTGGACCGAAATGCAGAGCGGATTCTGCCGTTCTTGTGGCTTTTGCTGGCCAGGTTCTCTCCGGGAGGGAGGGCGGAAGACGGTTGGTTTGGCTGCAGGCGAGCCTGGAACCGCCACAGGCTCTGCAGAGACCTTTCCTGCTCCAAAGGAAGCAGGCCTGTCAACTCGTAGTCATCTGTCGGCTTATTTCTTACGTTCATTTACATACTGCTCCCCTCAGGAGATCCTGGGAGGGTTACAAGCAAAATACAATACAGATAGTCCTTGACTTCTGGCCAAAATGGAGCCAGGAGTTTTTGTCAGATGTCATGATGATCAGAAGCACCTATGTGACCAACCCGATTTTATGACTTTTTTTTTTTTTGCAATGGTCGTTAAGTACAATGAACACAGCAGTTGTTAAGCAAAGGCTGCGATCGTTAAGTGAATCCATTGTCGGCAATAGGTGTGTTTTGCCAGAAATCAGAGGTAAACACCAGTTCCCAGCAAAAAAAAAAGTCAAGTTGTGGTTGTGTGACTACGGGATGCTGCAAATGGACGTAAATGCAGGCCAGTAGCCAAGTGCCCAACGTGATCCCATGACCTTGGGGGGGGGCGGTGCTTTTGGAACTTAGAAAATGGGACCCGGGCACCTTTTGTGGAGTCCGTTGTAACTTCAGTCAGTCTCTAAGTGACTGGTCATAAGGTGAGGACTCCCTGTAATGTCTCGTGAAACACAGGCCACAACAGCCTGCTTAGAGCAGGGCAGCACTGAAGGCCTCGCCTGCACAAGGCCAAGGAAGCCAGCAGCCGGAGGGCATGGCAAGAGGTCCAAGTGGGTTGGGTCCCTCTGGTGAGGCAGGACCTTCGTGAGTGCGCAGGAGGGGCCAGATCTGCTTGGAGGAGACCCCCGCTGGACGCTCTGGCCCTGTCCATCCGCTTGGCCCTTGCCGGCCCCGGCTCCTCCGAATGATCCTGTCTCCTCCTGCTCTCCCTCAGAACGCCTCCGGCTCCTGCTTGGTGGACATGAGCGCTGTGTGGTGGGAAGCTGCTGACTTCGCAGAATTGTGTGTTGTGACAGCCGAGGAAACGTCCATCTCTCTCTGGAGGCCTCTCGATCTTGGCCAGTGGGGGACGGTGCACACCTGGCACTTTACAAAGGTAGGTGAGGCGGATGCTGCTTTGGCTGCCTGGGTGGCGCCACCCTGGGCCTGCTGCTGGAGGCTGTCCCTTCCCCCCCCCCCATGCCCCCCCCAGCTGCAGTCTTTTCGACCTGAAGACTGGTGAAGGGTTTGGCACTGCTTGCCTGCCTCCCTATTAGCACAATTGTGGGTGTTGCTTGCATACGTGTGCGTTTAGTGTCTCCAGGGCTTAGCTCGGTGCATGGAGTATTTTTTTAAATTATGTCTAAAAGCCATAAGCTTAAAATAGATGTCCTGACAATATAATACATACAATATAAAATATCATTTGCGCTAATGCTGTATTATTTTGTGTTTTTATAACGTGTCTTAGGCTATAAAAGTATGAACTAATTTTGTGTTATTGTATAATAAAACAATTACATTGTTTTATTACAATGAATGAAAAAAAGTAACTCTAAACCAGGGGTAGTCAACCTTGGCTCTTTTATGACTCGTGGACTTCAACTCCCAGAATTCCTGAGCCAGCTAAGCTGGCTCAGGAATTCTGGGAGTTGAAGTCCACGAGTCATAAAAGAGCCAAGGTTAACTACCCCTGCTCTAAACCCATCGTGCAGTTCTTTGCTGAAGCTGCGGAGAGCTGGACCCTGGTCCCCTGCTGCAGACTCTGCAGGGGCTGCTGCAGATTGTGCTGCTCGGAGGGCCGCTGTGCGAGAGAGCAGGCGAGCCAGAAGTCACCCTGGGTGACGTGTGAAGGACAAACCGTTCTCCGGTTTACAGACAAGCCCCCATTTTGAGTGCCTGCGTGAGAACCAGGCATCCACTTGCCTGGAGCGGGTCCTTGCAGTCATCTGGATACAGATAGTCCTTGACTTACAACAGTTCATTTAGTGACCATTCCAAGTTGCAAAAAAAGTGACTTAAGACCGTTTTTCACACTTAACATTTGCAGCATTCCCTTGGTCATATGATCAGAATTCAGCCGCTCGGCAACCGACTCATAGTTATGACGGTTGCATAGTGTCCCGGGGGGGTGGTGGTGGTCACGTGATCCCCTTTTGCGACCTTCTGACAAGCAAAGTCAACGGGGAAGCCGGGTTCACTTAACAACCGGGTTACTAAGTTAACAACTGCAGTGATTCATTTCATATCTGTGGCAAGAAAGGTCGTAAAATGGAGCAAATCTCACTTAACACATGTTTCACTTAGCAACGTAATTTTTGGGCTCAGTTGTGGGTGTAAGTTGAGGACTACCTGTACAGCACTGCCTAGTTATGGCCCTAAGCAGGACAGTCAGGGCTGGGAATGGCGGCTGAGCAGTCTGGTGGGCCGAGGGTCCCGCTGCTGGCTTTATTCGGGCTGTGTCCGGGGAGGAGGGGGTGGGGTCTGGCTTGGAAGGGAGGAGCCGCCAATCCTGATGCTCTCTCTTTCAGTTTCCAGTGATCCAAATCGTCGCCCTGTCCGGGGCTCACAGCGTGGTGGGTGCAGTGCTGGGACGCCTGGAGACAGCAGAGATACGGCAAGTGGATTGTGCATTTTATGCATGGATGGAGCCAGCAGAGGTGGGCAAGTGGGCTGCTCTGGTGAAAGAACCCAATTCGTTTGCAATTCTACTTGGAAACCGCTGCTGGACTTTGTGCTTGAGGTGGAAAAAATGGAACTGATTTTGGGTTTTGCTGATTAGATAGGTTTGTTGTTATAGAGATGGCTACTTTATACCAGTATTATTATAGAAAAAGCAAAAGGTTGAGGTTTGATGCTATTATTTTATTATACTGCACCAAACGGAGTTGGAAGTCAACGCTTTTTCTTTCTTTCCCTTTCCCCTTTTCTCTTCCCGTTTTACACCCATATTCTCCCATTATTTTCTTTTGGTTTTTTTTACATAAACTAATAAAACTTTTGGGATGGATTATGCATTTCAGCAACTGAGTCTAATGGATGCTGAGGCGTTTATAACGCTGCATGCTTTCGTTCTCAGAGCAACATCCAAATTTGGTTTGCTGAGATTTTTTTTCCCTTGAACCAAATCAGGTCATTAGCTTCAATGCCCGAGAGGAGCCCTTTGCTGCTTTTGTGTAATTCAAGCAATCGTAAGCAACGTTGCAGTTAACAGATGTGAACCTTTGCGCAAGAGGAGGCACCTGAAGTTTCCATGATTTTATTTCTGCAAATTCTGCGCATTTCCCTCCATCTCATTCATACCACAAATACTTAAATGACAATAATGATAGTTACATTTTTTTTTCTGACCCTGTAACCTTTCTGTTGCATCTGCTACTAAGCAGGTTCTTGCTGACCATCTGGGTGTGGGTGTGTGTGTGTGTGAGCATGGCGAGATCAGAAGGACATGTCCTTGGAACATCCTATTCCATTTCAGCCTCAAAGTGCAGCAAAGGCTCCTGGCCACAGCCTCCATCCCCTCCTTGAGAAAAGGGGTCTCAGAAGACCCTCCGATCACGACCCTTTCGGGAATCAAAGAGGACTCAATCCCAGAATAGTCAGGTGGCTTCTGGCCTCTTGCTGGGGTTGGGTCTGAGCCGGTCTCTCCCCAGTCAGAACCCAACAGCCTCCAGGCATTGTCCCCACCTGGGCTGGGGGGTGGAGAGGTACAGCCAGACATGGTCAGCATGTGGATGCTACCTCACCTCGAGCTGGTGGGTGCCTTTGGTGGCAGAAGGAGACATTCAGCATTTCATTATTTTTGTGAAAGACTCCCTGTAATCATACTGAAAGACCAGGGTCCAAATTTGCCATTTATAGATCCAGCATTGCAGATGGGAAGCCTTTGATGGGCAAATTCCATAGCCTGTTTTTATTTCACAATAGCACGTTGGTATTTTTATTAGTGCTTGTTACTCCCATCATAGAGCTTTCCTACGTTGCTGTAATTGATGGCCACACGTTAATTGGTTTTGTTGTTGCATGTTAAGTAGACCCAGGATCATAGCAGACTTCTGTTCTTCTAGGCTTTTGTTCCATTCTTCTGAAGATGGCTGTGCTAAAGAAGAGCTGCTCAAAGCTGGAAACATAAACGCCGTTCTTGGTCTGACCGATAGGAAGCTGGTCAGCAGCTGCTGGTCACTGCGAGGCCAAGAAGTGGAAGTCTTTTCTTTCTCTGAGGTGGGAAGGTGAGGAGTGATTGGTTTTGTATGGTAAGCCTCTTTGGGAAGACCACCATTCCAGAAGACCTCTAAGAAATAGATCAAATCGCTACAGCAGGGAAGGAAATTGAACTCAGGATTCAGGCTAGACAAGGGTGCAGGCAGGCAAGACGTGCTGAACATGTTGGCAGTGAGTTCATTTTCCATCCTATAAACTGAGTGCTGAAAATCAGGAGAACCTGTTGGTTTTGCAGAAGCCACAAGAGGTGGACTTTGATAATCTATTCCCCCATGCCATCACTCTGCTAAACACCTAACACCCACAGCACTGTCTTATGCCTAAAAGTATTTACCCAGGTACTAGGGCTGTATTGCTGTTATTCTTCTCATCTTTCCTACTACTTTCTCCTATTGGTATCTTATGATTTATCACTTGTTTGTATCTTAGGAATTATGATTGTATTTTACGATTTTTGATCTATGACTTATCATGTTGTTTGTATGTACACTGAGACCTTCTGCACTGGAGACAAATTTCTTGTTTGTCCGATCACATTCCGCCAATAAAGAGTGTTCTGTCCTGTTCTGTTCTGTTCGATATTCTATTCTGTATCCTATCCTATCCTATCCTAGTGTATTATCCTATCCTATCCTGTATTCTACTTTACTCTACACTCTATTCATTTTCCATCCTATACACAAGAGTGCTGAACATCAGGAGAAGGTGTATGTTTTGCAGGAGCCACAAGAGGTGGGCTTTGATGCCCCCTGAAGAGACGGTTTTGGCTTTTGCCGACGTGGCTGGACTGCAGGAGGCTCTGCTTGGAATGACAGCCATGAACTGCATCGTGCTCTGGTGAGGCCGTGGGCTGCTCTGCGGGATTTTCCTCTGGCCCAGCTATTTTTCCTCATTAAAATTATGACTCAGTCCCACAAAGATATTACAGTAGATAACACACAAAAACGTATGTATAAACTATACTGCTATTGCAAAAAATGCTCAGTGCATAAAAGGAAAAATGTAAAACTAACTGAAAGTTGGGAGGAGTGAAATAACTGGGGGGGGGGGAAGAAATTCAGAAAACTAGGAACAAAACAAGAATTCTAATATCTCCAGTACAAAAGTTTTAATTATGTATACGTGCAGATTTTTGCAATTCAGATTTCAAAAATTGCCTTAAGCTGAGACCATGCAGAACTAAATACTGTCCAGTCTTGCTTCTCAGTCAAAGTATTTGAATATTGAGAGTTGACATGTTCCATTGAACCAAAAAAACCCATCTGATTCATACATATTTCCAGAAATATACTCATATTTATCAAAGTTCTTCAAAAATTGAAATTCCATTTTTAGATGCTAGTTTAACAACACACAGAGGTGTGTTAGAACCTTAACTTCCTTCCCAGGACCTAGTTTATAACAGCAATAATATCTAATTTGCCTCCTGGAGTTGTGAATGCTCCATCACTGGAGCATTCGGGATTCTGTTCTCGAGCCAGGTGTCCTAGCCGGCTGGTTTATTCCAGTTTGGCACCTCTGGTTCTTGTCAGCCTGTCTCCCCACCCCCACCCCCTCCGTTTGCCTTCCCTTTCCCTTGCTCTGACTTTACTTCCCCAAATTCCCTCCCCACTCCCCTGCGCTTTATGGCAGGATGCCAGCGAAGTGAAGAAGCTGAGGCCCGACACCTGTTTTTTCTGATGACAAATGGAGATTCAGGGTGATCCTCCTTCCATAGCAGCTACTGGTTGATGCCATACATGTTTTTGTGCGCAGCTAAGGCCCTCTGCCTGCTTTTACCTGGAAAAAAGACTTTTTGGAGGAGAGGGCAGGAAATCACCACCTGGCCCTCCCCGATGGTTTTGGTCCCCAAGTGGAGGGACTTCTGGAGAGCCGGCGGTGGCTTCTATTCTACCCTATTCTGCTTATGAAAGTGGGGCAGGCCTTGCTTGAAGCCTGGTGGGCTGCTTAGCTGGAGGTCTGCAACCTGTGTATCTGTCTGCATGGAGAACTGCATTCTGAGAGGTAGCATTAATTGGTGTGGAGGAAGGTTGGGTGTCTCCCGACCTTGGCCAATTGAAGATGGGTCAACTTCAACTCCCACAATTCCCCAGCCAACAAAGTTGCCGAGGTTGAGAAACACTGATTTTACTGGGATTGCTGATTTGATCAATATTATACTCTTCTTATACAGCTGCGTCAAGCAGTGCATTTTAGAAATAGGGAAAACCCCATTATTTCACACACTGGGTGTTGCTGCTTCTGTTCTTGCAAGCACTCTGGAAGTGGGTCCCTGTAGGGCTGGACGGGAGGGCGAGCAGGGTCTCTTCCCTGGTCTCTGCCGGGCTCATCCCGGCCAGACAGCCGAAGGGACCTGAAAGGGCTGAACTGATGGCGGCCTTTTTGCCCTGCACAGGAATCTGGGAACGGGGCAGTTGCTGAAGAAGATCCCGGTGGGGTGGTCCTTCCCCGCATCCGTCTGCCACAAGGCCTACTCCGATGCGGTAGGTGCCCTCAGGTACACGCTGGGAAAGGCAGAAAGGCCTCTGTTGGCTTCCGGCCTTCCTGTGGCTGAGCTTTGTAGCTCTTGCTTCGGTTTCCGCTGAGAGCACCGTTGAGGCCGATCCCACCACAGGACAGGAACGAGAATGTGGGATCTGCATTTGGGATATTTGGATGAGAAGCAGGTGCGATTCCTTTGGGAAGCACCGTGCTCGGAGTCTGGCATCTCTCCAGGGAGATGAGAAATCCCTTTGGCAGAACGTTGATCTGAGAATCACGTTCATAAGCAACGAGTTAGGCAAAGCCATTAAATTGCATATAGACTTTCCTATTGATTATATTTTTAAATAAATTGAAATCAAAGAGAGAGGAGGTCTGAATTCTGGAATGGGACTGAAAATTCATTGATCGCTATTCATTTGTTGGTGGGAGTCACGTCAGGGATGTGGGGCAATGCCAGGCGGGAAGAATTTGGGGGGCTGCATTGGGGGGCTTTTTTCATTTGTCACATTTTCTCCTGAGGCCTGCCCGACTGAAGATATTTGGATGTCGTAAATGTTTTGAGTTGATTTTCTAGAGGTAGGGAAGTGTTTGGAAGTCCAGGGTTTTAAGATTAATTATGTATTTGGAGAGATTGCTTTTACATTCTGGTATGTGCAAATTCTGGTAGTAGTTACAATGCAGTATTGCAGGCCCCAGCCAGGAGTTCGATCCGGATGGGGCTCAAGACTGACTCGGCCTTCTATCCTTTCGAGATCAGTAAAATGAGGACCCAGATTGTGGGGGGCAATATGGAACAATGCTGACATTGTAAACTGCCCAGAGAGAGCCAGAAAGCACAGTGGGGTGGTATATAAGCCTAAATGCTGTTGATGTGCTTCAAATCCTCAGAATTCAGAGGCCAAAAGCAGAGAACGTTGGTTTCATGTAACTGATGCATGCAGTGTCTGAACCAGTAAATCATCATCATCTTATGACTCAATCTATTGAAATCTATTGGCCAAGATATAATTGAGAGGCAGTTTGGTGTAGGCACTGGGCTAGAAATGGGAGTTCTGAATTCTAGTCCTGCCTGATAGATGAAAAGGACTTTGTCCCAATTCGCCCCAGGAAGGAAAAGGCAATGACGACCATTTCTGAAAAAGTTGGAAAAAAGTTCTGCAGGGACCCTCTGGGTAGCCTCATCGGAAGGCACACGAAGAGGGGAGGGGGGGATGTTCAGACAGTCTCCTGAGACGATAATTGGCCTCCCCTCAGCTGCCCAGCCCCGACTTCAGGGTGCTTAAGAGCCACCTGGTGAACGTATGTCCGAGGCATCCGGTGCTTATCTGACCGGTGGTGGAGCTGATGTCTCCCTGGGGGTTTTCTGTCTTGCGGATCAGGGCCTGCTCTTCCTGGTCTTCAGCCACCCCCATGCCGAAGACAGCCAGCTGCCTGGGAACCCCGCCTTCCAGATCGTGGCGCTCAATCCCAAGACCGCCAGAAGCTCCGGAGTGATGCTCTTGGCCCTGCCCCCCAGCATCCAAGGAAGGCAAGTTGTGGCGTGAGGGGGCGGGGGGGGGGCTCTTCAAAAACCAGCAGTTTGTAGCCAAGTTAATTTGAAAGTGGGAACTCCCCCCCCTCAGAATTAGGGGGGGGGTCTCCATCTAGACTTGTTATGCCTGCCCTGATGAGCAGGAGTTGCCTTGCAGAGTCTCCAAGGAGGCCTTCCCTCCACCTCCATCATTTTCAGGTGGGGGTCTGAGTTGGCGGGCAGGCAGTTGTGGTAGAGTGCAGGCACCGAGCCCTGGAGGTGGGCCGGTGCTTGAGGTCCCCAACCCCCAGGCTGCGGCCCACTAATGGGCTGGGAACCATTTGAAACCAGGCCGTAGAAGCAGCCTGCAAGCATGCACATCCCCCACTTGTGCAAGCAGCAGGTGTGTGCGTGTGCATGCTCCATTTGCCAGAACGGTGTGCATGCATACCCACCGCTTGCACAAATGGAGCTGCGTACCCACACAGATCCCCTCTCCTCTTCACACACACACACACACACATACATACATACCGCTGGTCATCAAAGCCGGAATGGTAGCCCTCCGACCTCAAGCGACATACCGACCTCAAGTGACATACAGAACAGTCTGCTGGTTAAAAACAGGCTGCCGGCTGTGAAAGGCCTAGTAGCTCTGTTAGAAAAAGGGAAAAATAGCAGTCAAAACATGTTGCTGCCCAGCTTCAAAGCAGGGACCTTTCCACTCTGCTTCCGGAGCCCCAGGGCATGAAAGCTGCTGGCTGGGCCTGCACACGGTGCTTTAGTTTTAGAAGCCTTCTGTCTTTCAGAAATTATATATTCTTGTAAGACTTTGAGGAGAAGCACTTGGCAACTGCTGTCCTGTCATGCATCCAGCAGTCAGGCCTAGGAATTGTGGCCCAGGCAGCCTCCCAGTGGAGGAAGGGGTTAAAAGGCAAAAAGCTACTTTTTCCAGCCAGTTCCATTTCCAGCTGGCTTCCATCTGCCTGCACTGCAGAAAAGCCCCGTCTGGTGCCCAGACATGCAGTTTGGGGGATGACCCTGCTCAGCTGTAACCTGCCATAACGACACTGAGTGGCTCCTTCCCTCCCTAACTCTGCGCCCCTCTTAAGGCGGACGTTTTCCTGCGGCTGAGAGAGGAGGAGCAAGGCTGCCCAGGGATGCTCCACTGTGGGAGTCTCCCGTTTACCACCCTGATTCTGCTTTATCTGAGCTTCCTTTTTACACTTCTCTTCAAACATCTAACTTTATTCATTAAATTTATATGCCACCCGCCTCACTGACCCGAATGTTCAACCGTGTTTTCCCAAAAGTAAGACCCTGCCTGATAATATTTTTGCCTTCAAAAGAGGCATTAAGTCTTAATTTGGGGGGGTGTCTTGTATTTTTCGTGACACCTGCCTGACCTCTGGTGGCAGCACCAACAACCCTGTGCAGCAACCCACTTCTGCGGCTGCTTGCGGCAGGAGGCTGCGCGGCAAATTGTGTCGCTGCCGTCACCTCTTTGTCCTCCGCCAACTCTCCCGGCCGCCTGCCTGCACCAGCCGTTTGTCGCCTGCCTCGCGGAGAACGGAGAACGCAGCGGCGTCTCCCTTCTGGAAATGGCAGCCCCGTTTCCTGCTGCTTCTGCTCCTCTTCCCGAAAGCCTTTCTCTGCTAACCTGCTTTCCGGCTCTGGCGCGTTTCTCTTCTGCTGTAGGGAAACGGAATTTGTGGGACTAAGAAAAGTTTGGTCAGACCTTCCAACTCCTCGCAAAATCTTTTTTTTCCCCAGAAGGGAGAAGGGAGGCATGGGGCGATGCAGGGCAGCAAGCAAGTGCTGTTCTCTGCCGTGCATCCCTGCGCAGAGCCGCTGCGTCCTCCGTTCTCCACGAGGCAGGCGACCAAGGGCTGGCGGAGGCAGGCGGCCGGGAGAGTTGGCGGAGGACAAAGAGGCGGTGGCTGCACCCAGGCAGGTGATCTGCGGGATGGAGGTTAAAGAAAGCCCCTCCAGCGGCACACAGCGGAGGCGGAGCCGTTCGCATCACTCCCCCCTGGCTCCGAAAAGGGTGGAGGGGGACCAGGCCTACCTGCCCACCCCATCCACCGTAGCATGGCAGTCCGGCTCGGGAGGGGAGTGAAAGTCGCCAATCAAGGAATGACCTGGCGGGGGGGGGTGAAGTACTGGTAAGCGGGTGTGCGGCAGCTACACCCCTCCCCCACCTGCTTCGCCTTGTGCCGCGCAGCCTCCTCCCCCATTGCAGCAGCAAGGTGGGACGGAGTGGGCAGGGTCCTAACTAGGGCTTATTTGGGGGAAGGGCTTATATTAGCCCCCCCAAATCAGGGTAGGTCTTATTTTCGGGGAAACACGGTAAATCGGAGTGCCCCAAGCAGGCAAGGGACAGGGGCTCCAGAGGCTGCAGCCTCTCAGTGACTCTTTCTGGTCCTCCAGGTACTTGGAGCGTGATGTGAGGGGCGCGTCGGCAGCAGCTGTCCTGGCATCTGGAACCATTGCGTTGTGGGATTTATTTCTGGGGCAGTGCACTGCGTTGCTGCCCCCCAACTCTGGAGGCAGCTGGTCCCTGGCCAGGTGGTCAGTTACGGACACTTGCCTGCTGGCTGGGCAAGAAGATGGCTCGGTTTACCTCTATGAGTACGCAGGGGCCTGCAGACCGGCTTCCTGCCTTCCCAGAACTCTGGAGCCGAATCCCTCGGGGGGCAGCTCAGAGACGGCTTTGTGAAGGGCCGCCAAGGAGATCCAGTTTTGTCAAGGGAACTCAGAAATGTCCATTGTCACAATCCACTCGGAATATTTCTTCTGCAAGCTCACCAGAATTAATAGGAGCTGCTGGTTGGCTAACGTTTCACCTCTTTTTGAAGTAATTGTCCTGTACCTGTTAATAGAAATGAAACTGATTAAGCAAGTGACACGTTTCCTTGACTGTTCTTGAATACGTGATAACTTTTTGTAAAAGGCTAGAAGAGACACAGGTTAACATGACAGTAGAATGTTGTTTTTCTGGCAAAGCTTCTGCGGATGAGGAGAATTTCTGGGTTCCGCTTCTTGCTGACCAGCCTGTCTTCCGCCACCGAGTCCTCTTGACCGACTAGCCCTCTAGCCAGCAGTGGCTGCATCAGCTCTGCAGGCAGATCCAGTGGCTGACGGCTGTCCCCCAGTGCTGCTCCTCAGGGGCCGCCTGTGTCCCCTTCCCTATTTCATGTAGCCGACTTGACTCCGATATGCCACACTGAGGCCTGGAAATGGCCTAGATCAGGGGTGTCAAACTTGCAACGTCACATGACTTATCACAACTCTTTTTCCATTGCTGGCAATGGGGTGGATGCCGTTTCGCCATGAGGCACCCAGCCGGCAGCTTGATACCCCTGGCCTAGATCACCCCCATTCCAAGCGAGTGGCTGGGGTCCCCTTGTTGCCCACCACGTGCTGGCTTCCTCTCCTCTGCACAGGGAGGAAACTGGGATTTGTAGGAAAATAAGCAGGGAGGCGTATTAACTTTGCCACCCTGAGTTATTTATAAACGTAAGAACGGAATGTAGATAAAGGAAATGGCGGGTGGGAACGCTGTATGCAGCGTACACAACATTCCTGCAGTGCAGCCCAGCCCAGCCCAGCGTGATCTTAGAGGCTGGAGGGCGCAACAAGCAAGTTGGGCTCTGCAATTGCCACGCAAAGGCTGCATCGGCATCCAAAGCGGGGCGCGAGGAGTAGCCGCCGCCGCGAAAGGCCCCCGTCTCTGGGCTCCGGACCCTCCCGGCGGCTCTGGACCAGGCCGGGGCGCGTCTCCCTCACAGGCCGCCCGAACGGCCACATCGTAGCTGGGCTTGCAACACTTGCGCCCGCCCGGCTTTATTCTGCGGAGGTTCCGCGCGAGTCACGGCCGGGACCCGATTCACACGTGACGAGGCTGCCCTCAGAGGGAGGGGGAGGGGCCCGCCGCGCCGCGAGGCCTGCCGGGAGCCCCCGCCCCTCCCGCGCGCGCGCGAGAGAGAGGGAGGGAGAGCGCAGGCGCAGNTGGTCGCCCCGCAGCTGTCGGTGGAGTCGCACTTCATGAAGGACCTGGGCCTGGACAGCCTGGACCAGGTGGAGATCATCATGGCCATGGAGGACGAGTTCGGTAAGGCCGGGCCGGGGGTCTCCGCAGCCCCCTCCTCCCCGGGGGGAGCCTCGCCTGAGCGCAGCCGGTTCTGGATCCTCGCCCTGCTTTGAGCTTCCCGCCTTCGCCGCCCGGGAAGGGGCCTCCGAAGACGGGTTGCGAAGGGCTCCGGACTGCCCCGCTCGCCGGTTTCTTACTCTGAATATGCGACCAGTTGCAGAGATGTAGAAAAACTGAACGCCGGCTGTGCTCAACAGATCTCGGGGGTCCACCAGAGCCCCCCGTTGCTTGGTGGGCTTCAGCTTTGAGTGCGGCTCATTCTCCCCCCCCTCCCAGCCATGGAAGTGGCCCCTCGCCCCGCAGGGCTGGTTGGGAGGAGGGCTGCGGTTGTGGCTCCTGGTCTTGTTGACTTTGGCGCCCCTGAACTAAATGAGCCAAATCTCTTCCAGGGTTTGAAATTCCAGATGCAGCAGCAGAAAAGCTGATGAGTCCTCAAGATATCATAGATTATATTGCTGATACGCAAGACGTGTATGAATGAGTTTCTCAAGCGGAGTAAGTGGACATCATCTTGCGGTGCTTTTGTGCGGTGAGGTCAGCAAGGAGGGATTGAAATGGGGGGAGCAGGTCCCATCACGGGAGCCTTAGGAGGTGGGTGGGTTTGGCCTGCATTTCAGCCTGGGGAGATGGGTGGCTGGCTGGGAGGAGAGCGTATTTGGACTGGGAGCAAAGCCGCTCCTGGCCAGCATCCTTTGACAACAGTGTGATTCCTGCAGTGAGAGGAGGTAAGACTAGGTGATCTCTAGCATCCTTTCCAAGTTTACATTTTATGATTCTGGGGTAACAGTATATTGGAAAATTTGGTGGGAAGGAGGGAGAAAGCATTAGCAGTAGGAGGGGCAGGAAAGCAAAGAGCTTTGGACTGTTAAACCTATTTTTTCTTCTCAGAAAAACCCTTAGCAGCATATCAGAAAAATGAAAACTAGCGTTTCAATTTCATGACAAATCAAAGTCGGGTTGAAGTCTCTCTGTCGAGGACGTTCCTGGGGTGGATTGTGGAATGCTAGTGTGAGCCACAGGCAGTCAAATCAGAGATGGCAGAGCACTCCTGAAAAGCTTCAGAAGGGGAGCTGCAGGCTGCTCAGCGGCGAGGACAGGGAGTGGCCCAGTGCAGCTGCAAGGCAGATGTTCACCAGGGCAGAATAGGGGGCTGTGCCTTTTACAAGCAATAATCTCCTTGCCTCTCTGTGTTTGGTGAGGCAGAAAATATTCTTGCTTTGGCTGATGAATGCTGGGAGGTTGTCTGGGAGTGGGTGCCTCTCTTCATTACAGCAGAATAATGGGGGAGGAAGCAGCATATCCTGCCTTGGGACAGAGTAACTCTGGTTGGCTTACTTTTACGTTCAAAAGGGCAACTTGATGATCACAGACAAATTATTTGTTTAATTTCATTCTGATCTCCAGAAGGGAATGTTCTTGGGGGGGGGGTGCTACAGCAGAGAAGGCACCTCTCCTCCCCACCAGCCAACATTCCTTGGCTGATGGGACCCACAGCTTCCCCATCCTGCTGGCCCGAATTGGACAGGTCGACAGGGCTGGGAGAAGATGGTCCCTCGGATAACTTGGCCCCCAAAGCCACGAACAGCTTTAAAGGTGACAACTTGATTCCCTGGAAAAGCCTCCATGGTTTCATACAATTGCACCCGGAAACACGCTGGCAGCCAACGCAGCTCACGAAACAGTGGTGTTGCGTGTGTTGAATATCCGACATCATTTACTATCCCTGCAGCTGCATTCTGCACCAGTTGAGTGCTCTTCAAGGGCAGCCCCATGTAGAGCACATTGCAGTACTCCAGCCAGAAGGTCACAAGGGCCTCCCAGTCCAGGAACAGGTACAACTGATGCACAACCTGAAGGCCCTCCTGGCCACGGCTGGCATTTGCTCTTCTGGCAGGAGCCGGGAATCCAGGTTGCACCCGAGGCCTGTCTGGCTAGTGTTCAGCTGGCCACGCCTCCCCTGGAAGTTGAGAGCCCTGCAGTGATTCCGATGCATTTGATTGGACTCCCTGAGCCTGCCTGTTGGGCGCCTTCGCTGTTCTTGGCTGAAATGGATCAAAATGGAGGCCTTATCCTTGGGCAAGTGATCTCTCATTGCCCGGTGGAACCAATCGGAACTGGCTGCTCTTGACAGTTTTGACTCAAGTAGCTGCTGCCAAAGTTCCTTTCCGGTGGTCCTATGCAAGGTTCAAATATTCCCTTCCCACCTCGCTCACAGGTATCTCCCGTTTTGTTCCGAGAGCTGGATGAAGTGATCGAGACGGACTACCCTGGCAAGCCAGCCCCTTTGCGGTTTGGAATCCCTATGGCTCTCCGAGGAAGAGTTTTGTTTGTCATATTTAAAGCTGTAAAAATGTTGGACTTCAGAATAAATATGAAAAATTCGTATGCCTTTAGTCTATCGCTGTTTTTAAAACTATGTTTCTCAAGACTTCCCCCGAGTGCGATATTACAGCATCCCCCCCCTCACCATTCATGTGCCTCTTAGAGCAAAGGAGCTTCTGGTTTCATCTCGTGGCTTTGCTGCTGCAGGTCTGTGGCTGCACCCGCACCCCAGCGAAAGGGCAGCTGGTTGCCTTGTGGCTCCGTTCTTGCTGATTCAGCCAGGAGCGCCTGCCTGGGTTCTAGATTCCTGTGAGCTTTTTGGAGTGACTGTAGGAGGAGGACTACTTGCTGCAGTGATGCAACCCTGAACGCTGGGCACACAATATGTCCATTGGACAGTACAGCCTGTGTGCCCAGTGCCATTTGGATGAGAAATAAACTTCAACCAGGTTAGAGAAATAATATCTAGCGCTCTCCTTTGCTTTATGCAACTGTGTCCGTATGATACATTTGCCCAAATGGGTGGGTTGGCAGATTGAGACGGAGTCACGTGTGCTGGTTGATCCAGTGCGCAACTAAGGACTGGGCAAGCAGCTGGACCTGGGAGATTCTTCGGGGCTTTATAAAAACAATGATCCTATTTTCAGTGCAGTTGAGCAGAGGAAGAACTGGATGTTTATTAAGTAATTGTGTTGCTTGAACCCAAACAAGCGGTGTAGTTCGGTCAATAGCAGATGAGGGTGTGAACATTTCTTTTGGACTCATCTAAAGCCACGTAACTATTTGCATCATCAAAACTGTAATTTACATAAAAGTTCTTGGCAGTTGGCAAGAAAGATTCGCAAGCAGCAGCAGCAGAAAATACCAAAACGAGGCCCACCGATGAGTGAAATGGGATTATCAGCAAACCCAAGGCCGAATCAAGGTCCAAAGGCTCCCCAGAAGACAGGGGCAGCTAGCCAGGCCAACCTTGGGAGCCATTCCAAAGAGCCTGCATAGCCACTCGGGACCAGAACCAACCCGTGGCCCCCTCCCCTTGTTAAAGGGGGGGCATGTTAGTTCTGGGGAGAACTGGCCAGGGGAGTCGGTGAGAGGACAAGCATCTCTGCGGCCCATGGGGCAAATCACAGGTGCTTTCCGTCAGGGCAATGATGGATCCTGCTTTCCACCTGTGGTGCAGCTCCCATCATCCCATCGTCAGTGACTTGTGGGAATGAGGATTTAAAGGGACTGCATTGCAAAATGCTGCCACAAAGCAGGGTATATATCAGGGATGGCGAACCTTTTAGAGACGAGTGCCCAAACTGCAACCCAAAACCCACATGTACTGTGGGGTGCTGGGTGGGCATGGCTGCACTGGTAACGGCAGACTGGGCTGGACTAAAAAGTTCAATCAATTCCAACTTGACGAGATCTCCCCCTCCCCCGCGAGAAGTTGATTGATATTTTTTTTTGCACATGGTGGCAGAGGCCTATATATCATGCATGGCTCCCCAACTGAGGGCAGGGCAAGAATTCCTGCAGCTGCAAATGAAGTTGCTGGCCTCCTCTGGAAAAGGTGGCAGCAGGAACCACAGGCCTTTCCCACCGGCCTGGAAACATTCTCCTTGGGATATATTTTGGGCACTGTGCTGGCCACGTGTACCATCGCAGGCTATGCAATCTCACTCTCCCTCCTTCACCAGCACCCGTGTAATGCAAAGTTCAATTTCAATTTATTTCTGGCTTGATTTGACAACCGAGTCTGTTTTCTTAACTGATTCTCTAGCAGTTTCTGCATAGGTGCAAAAACCTCCATCTCTTATTTGCAAGGTTAGTTCAACTCCCATTTCTCTGGAAACAATCTGCTCCAATGGCTCTTACACTGCCTTCATGGTGAGCATCTGAAAGGTCATTAAATGGATCTGCTGCAAAGAACTAGAGCAGGGGTAGGCAACCTTGGCTCTTTTATGACTTGTGGACTTGTGGACTTCAACTCCCTCAGCTTTGCTGGCTGAGGAATTCTGGGAGTTGAAGTCCACAAGTCATAAAAGAGCCAAGGTTGCCTACCCCTGAACTAGAGGCTCTGCTCTGTTGCTCAGGGCAGCCACCTTGTCCCCTTTGGCCCTCCAGAGTTGAGCCACACAAGAAGGGCCATCAGGGCCGCCGATAGTCCTGTCACTCGTGCCATCCAGGAGTCTGGCCTCTCTGCTCCAGAGTTGGGGCATTTTCCCACTTGGCACCAGAGCGGCTGTTCTCAGTACTGGGAATCCCAGGCCAGGTTGGAAAAATCAGAGGATCTTTGTTAGCCAATGTTACTCCTGCAGGAGTGCTTTTTTTTTTTTAACTTCCACTGAGGGAGGACTTTTGAGAGATGGGATTTTTCAGTTCAACCGATTCCATGATCATCTCCTCTTTTACAGCCCAACAACCAGAGGCCTAACTTCCTCTTTGAGAAAATGGAACTATTCAAATCAAGACAACCTGGGCAGGCTGACCCCCAACCCAGGCAATTCTTTCAGTGAAACTTTGTAGAATCAGATGCTTGGAAGGGACCACAGGGATCGTCTTCCTCAGCCCTCTGCAACATGCAGCATCCGTGAGCTGTCTGGCCAGCCTCTTCTACAATGCTTAGAAGTGAAGCTGCCAAGATGAAAAACTGCAGGCCCTGGACTTTATCTCTGCTACTCGGGTCTTAAGAGCTTTCTGATCAGTTTTTCTGAAGGGAGCCCAAAGGCCAATTCTGATTTTATGTCAAAGAAAGTGTTGGGGATGTAACAGTACAGAATTGTCAGTACTTTGAAAACATTATATTTAAACTACTCCATGGCACCTGTGCTGTCTGCACAGTGAAGAAGCCAACCAGGCCGGGGTCTCTCCAGGTAAGTCCGACCCCTGCAGATGGCGAAGGCTGCAGGTTCTGCTGGAGAGGAAATCAAAGAAGTCCAACACAAGAGATAAGCAGCCCCCAAAGTCATGATTTATTAATATCTGGAGAAGCTTCATAATTTGAACACAACCCAAACTGTACATTTTACAATCACACACTATTTGTAAACAGTTAAAAAGCCACTGACAACTTTTGTATCTTCAGACACAACAGTTAGAATCAAGGCAATGAAATGAGAGCATCTTTCGGCACAGTTAAAAGGGTTTTTTTTTTATCCTTGTTTAGTATTTCATTCTCCGACTAAACAAGCATCAGATAATACCATTTGTGGCAAAAAGGAAGATGAGTTTAACACTTTCACAAGAAAAGTATTTGCAGGAACTTTCAACATTTAAAATTTATACAACAAAGTTCTGTAATTCCAAATCCTTGGTTACAGTCTGCATAGTTACTTCAGCTTTAAGGTTAAACATGAAACACAGTCACAAGAGCAGGAAGAGCATCAATGGCACAAGGGGGGGCGGGAAGGGGGGAGCCGGGGTGGGCTTTACGAAAAGAGGGAACTACAGTTTACCAGCCAAGCCCCCCCCTTCCCCCCCCCACCCGCACTATTAAAAAGACAGCATCAGAAAGCACAGAATGTCAAACTCCAGCGAATCGAAGCAATTTTTGGCAGAAGTCATTTTACCGAGCAAGTAATAATCAGTGCTAAAAGTTATTTTCCTATAAGAAACGACAAGGAGCTCTACTGGGGACCTTCGTTTTCCTGAGAGCCAGGCTCTTGGATCGGGAGGGGGATAGAAAAAACGAGTGGAACGTGGCCGCGCACGGCCCGTGATTCCCAGAGATCAAGAGGAAGCATCTTTATCATCCACATCTTTTTGTTTTTTAAAAAATAGCTAAGTGATGGAAGAAGAGTAAACATTGTTTCTTAAAAAAAGAGAAAGAAAAAACTTCTGTAAACAAGGCAGTGCCCCAACAGGAGCCCCCCAAATAAAAGACAAAAGCCAAACGCCTCTTGAAAGTGCAGGGCACCACCCAGGCGGCTGCCGGGCGTGCAGCTTCAGGAACTGCCCGGCTCCGTCCGCCCGATTCCACAGGAGCCGGCAGGTGCAACACGTTTTTCGCCCGTCATCCTGGCAGAGACTTCCCCCCCCCCCGGCCGTTTGGCACCACGGACGGCCACGTGGTGCCGAGTGGCCAGGCAGGCAGACCCGCAGGGGCAGCGGGGCTCGTCCTGACCCAAAGCAGACACCCCCTTGCCTGCCCGCCACAAAACATTGCCCGGGGGGGGGGAGGAACTGCCACCGCTACCATTCATACACGGCAGAGTAGGGAGAAGGACCAAGTCTGTGCAAAGCTTAAAAAGCTCAACCTCCAACATTTTCAGCAAGTCGCCAAAGGAAAAAAAAAATCGAGGAAAACAAGAAAGCAAACTGATCTTATGCAGGAAACTGGCTGAATTATGCAATGTACTACCTGGAAATGTAAATCTTTTCACTTTTCACATTATAATATTGGCCTGCATGATTCAAGTATTCAAACTGGTATGTTTTGGGCTAAAACAAAGAGGAAAAATGTGCACGACGTAACCATTTCCACAGTTGACCCCTAGAGGCTGCAGGTGGGGGGGAGGGGGGAGATCCAAATTTAGTGCTGCTTTGAGGTCAGTTTTTCACACTGAAACAAGGTTACATGGACTCTCCCCCGGCCCCCAGGTGGTCAACGGAGAGAAACGCATTGAGTGGGGAGGGGCTGCCAAGGCCCCTGGTGTCGTTGCCACCCAGGGAGCCCCAGAGGCTGGTGGAATAGTTGGGGCTGCCCCAGAGGGAGGTGCCGTGGAGGTCCCCACTGCTTGTTCCTGAAAGCCCCGGACCGCTCCAGGGAGGGGTCAGGTCACTGCGGTTGGAGAACGCGTGGGGGCTGTCCATGCTCCCCAGGCGGGTCTGGCTGGTGCCCAGAGATTGCCAGGTGGGGGTCGGGGTCAGAGACGGGCCTTGTGCAAAGAAGCGGCTAATCTCCTCTTCGCTGGCAAACTCAGCCAGAATTGTAGTGTTCCCGAGGACGCACCTGTGCACAAAGCCAGCAAGAGGCACGTGAGATGGCAGCAGCCTGCAGAGCACACAACCAATTCCCCCCCCCTGCGACTACCTCATCCTCCTCCTCTTCTTCTAAGCCCCTCACACACCGAAAGCAACCATGACAACCATTTACCCGCTTAGTTTATACTATGGCAACCGCTCTGTGGTAATAAAAAAGAGGCATCCTCCGGAGGAGAATCCAGCCAATTAAGTGGCAAATAAAACCAGGTCTATTAAGAGCAGGTTAATTGGAAAGAAAAGGCGGTCCTGTCAGGTCCTTTATCAAAGGTATGAGTTCCAAAGATGGCTCTGTGCCCAGCAACCCACGTGCCTCTCCCCTGCGGCTCCCCTCCGTTCCTGCCTGTTTGTTTGGGGGCTACTCACATGTGGAGGGATTTTTGTGCCTTCATCACCTCTTCTTTTGAGCTGTACCGGACTAAAGCGTTGCCATGGGGGAGGTTCAGGTGGAATGTGATCAGGGGCCCGTGCTGCATGCAGAGGGTCCGCAGGGTGGAGCCATCAATCTGGGCACAGAGACAAGGGATGGCCGCCCTGAGCTGCTGCTGCTGCTGCCAGTCCTGGCCAGGAGGGGGAGGGGCTCGGGTCCCCCAGGCCAAAACACCTCCCCAAAGTGTTGACTCACCTGAGGTGTGAGGTTCTTCAGGACGAGACAGTTGGTGATTCTCCCTGAGCTGCTATTCTCATTCCAACTGGAACCTGAAAGAGAAAACACACCTCCCAGTAACCCCTGAATGCTTCACAAAGCGGGGGACGTGGGGAGACCCTGGGAGCCTCTTGGCTCTCTTCCCCCTCTCACGAGACTCGCACCAAATAGCATTGCTCAGCGTTTTGCTCAAATGGCTTAACCGCCCAGTGCTTCAGAAGATTCTCCCATTTCAAAGATTGCGCCACGGTCCCTGACCAATTTGCAAGGGGCAGAGACACACTGAGTAGGCGTATCAAGAGAGCAGAGGCCTTTCCCCGCCAACAAGGAACGAGTCTAGCTGAGGGGTCTTGGCCAACGTCTCCACGCAGGTCTGCCTGGCGGCAGGTGGGGAAACTCTGACAGGCAGCCAATGGCTGATTGAGGAGGAGAGGCCTGGCAAGGGCCGGGCAGCCGCTTCCTTTCTGCCCAGGCCTCCAGGCCCTGGTTCTGGGGGGGGGGGGGGGGGAAGGGCGCCTCCTCTTTGAGCACAGACACGGCCTGCCATCAGCCAAGCAGGGCAAGGGTGGCGCACGGGATGGGAACCAGATTCTTACCAGGGGTGTATCTGGCTTCCGAATGGCTCCAGCCACCCCCAAATCGCGCAGAGTTGTCCCACGTGGGCAGAGACAGCTTCTGCCCGGTCAGTCCAGGGGGCGGCCGTGATGGAGCCGTGATGCTCTTGGGTGGCAGAGGGACCTTCCATAGCTCATGGGCCAGAGAGGTGTTGTTAACGGAAGCAGGAGACCAAGTGGATTTGGAGTCACTGTTTCTGGCTGGAAGGAGAAAACGACCGTGAAACACCACTGCCTTGGGGGCTGCAAAGAGGCTCAGGAGGGAAGCAGGAGGAAGGGTTCAGTGGGGGGGGGGGCGGGAGGAGGGGGCTGCAGGGCCCGACCACCCGCTGGTCTCACCTGAAGAAGTGCTTTGTGCTGTACTGTTGAGGGAAACATTGTAGTTGGAGGCACGAATGGATGACCAGGCACTAGTTGAAGGCAGCGTGGTGTTCAGAGCTGAGGATGACCCTGGGGAGGGAAGGCATGGCAGCCCTCAGAGGGGTGGCAGCCATTAAGGGCAAGGCAGACAATGGGGATGTGCAGGCCCAGCTCAGTTCACCTTCAGGGCTGCAGCTTTAACATGGGGCTGGCTCCATCAAAAGGCAGAGGGGGGGAGCCAGCGATGGAGGGCGGCTATCGAGCCCCACTTGGTCACCAAGGAACCCCTTCTTGGGACCCCTTCGCCAACACTGCCCAGCCTGCAGGAGATCAAGTCCCCTTGAGGCACCACCTGAGCTGTGGATTCTGGCCTGTTCTCCCGAGGCCGGGGCTGGGGGGAACAAGGAGCCTGCAGGCCCACCACCCCGTCTGCCTCCTCTGATGTGTGCTGGATCTCCCCAACTGCTGCACTTTCTTCCTGGGGAGGCTTGAAAACCCAGCTGGCCAAGGAGACAGGTAAGGGGGGGGGGAGGCTTTGCTGGGGCCAAACAAGGACGATTTTCCAGAGCCCCGAAAATGCCGCCCCTCCCCCAACAGACCTACCGCTGTTCCTGTCCCTGAGGTGGTCAGCCTCCCGCACAGTGTTAATTGACAGGCTGTTTGTGACGCTGCCAGGAGTAACATAAGGGTCAGTTTCTGGGTCAATGTTTGGATAACCTTTCCACGGCTCACCAGGGCGAAATTCTAGGATTTAAAAAGAAAAGCAAAAGCCTGACAATCAGGGCTCCTCCCTGGGAAGGAGGCTGTTCTCCCCCCCCCAACGGCTGCTGACCCTGCTGGAAAGACCCCAAAGAGTCTCTCTCTCTCTCTGTTTATGTATTTCTTGCCCACCTCCAGCCCCCAAGAAATACAGGTCCTCCTCAGCTTACAATCCTTCACTGCCGGGGGGGGGGGATTCAAAGTTACATCATTATTGAAAAAAGTGGCACGGCTAATTTTCACACTTTGCAGCCTCCCCAGGGAGGGTCATGTGACCAAAATTCAGGTGCTTGGCCACAGACTCCTACTTAGGACATTTGCCGTGTCCCGGGGGGGTGTCACGTGATCCCCTTTTGCAATCCTTTGACAAGCAAAGTCAACAGGGAAGCCAGATTCACTTAACAACCGGGTCACTAATTTACCAACTGAAGTGATTCACTTAACAACCGTGGCAAGAAAAGTCATAAAATGGGGCAAAACTCACCTAACAAATGTCTCACTTAACAACAAAAACATTGGATTCAATTGTGGTCGTACGTTGAGGACTACCTGTAATTCAATTTCTTACTGAAAGGATCAGGACAAATTCATTTTACTGTTTTAGGAAGTCACAATGTTACAAAATTCCACCACATTCTTTAACATGGTCTAAACGCAACTATGCTGGGATTTGTAATTTCCGTTTTCCTTGGACACACAACCCACAACCACGGAGAGCAAAGAACTTCCCGAGCAGCAGCTGGGCTCCAACCAGACCCCTGAAAGACAGGCCTCCTGGGGCTTCCCCACAGCTGGTCTGTCTCATGGCATCTGCCCGGCCCTTTCACCTGTCCGGGGATGGGAAAGAGCGAGCCCGAAGGCTGCCCTGACTGGGGCTATGATGCTCCCCGGGGTCCTCCTCGTCTGCTCCTGGGGTCAAATCTCCTCTTATCCCACAAGACAGAGAAAAGGCCAGGTTGACACCTCCAATACGGGCCAAAGGGTTCAGCGGAGTCTATCTTTGTAGGGACTCACCTGGTGGCCAGTTGACACTGCTTGAACCGTTTGGTGATTTGGCACGTGGCCAGCCATCCCCCACAGATCCAGGTGGGCTGGCTGGTGAGTTACTACTGCTCATGAAGTCGTAGGGAACAAAGGACGACGTCTCCTCCATTCTAAAGCCACTGGAAATAGCACCTGAAAAGCAAGGGAGAGATCCAATCCTTTTCCAGAACATCATCCTGAGAAGTTGACAACTGACTTCACGTAGCCTTCTCATTATGGCCAATTTCTAGCTCCCCATCAGCCTCAACCAGCAGGACCACAGCGAAGGGCAGACACAATCTGACAAGATCCGGTTACTTATCTGTATCTGCTATTATGTAGGCTATGTGCTCCTGCAAAGCTCCATCTGGCATCTTCCAAAGATTACTGCACTACTGGAGCAAGACCTGCCGCCATTTCTTACTTTTTTCGTGCAGCCACCCACTTCACAATTGTGGCTCTGGGCAGGTCACAATAATTAAAACAACAGAAACTTCACAAAAATAAACAGCTATCCTAAAATCATGATTAAAAAATCAGTAAAGCATACTGGTAGTCAGCAGGTGACTATAAATCATGTGTCCATTTCACATGGCCACTGCCAAGGCTCACCACGACTGCCAACCCAGCAGGCACCATGGCAGAGCCAAGTTAGAATAGAATAGAGCTGGAAGGGACCTTGGAGGTCTTCTAGTCCAGCAGGTCTCAAGCAGGAGAACCAATACCATCTCAGACAAGTGACTGTCCAGTCTCTTCTTAAAAACCTCCAGTGATGGAACGTCCACGATTTCTGGAGGCAGAGCTGTTCCACTGGTTAATTGTCCTCACTGTCAAGAAGTTTCTCCTTAATTCCAAGTTGCTTCTCTCTTTGATCAGTTTCCAACCATTGTTTCTTGCCCTGCCCTCTGGTGCTTTGGAGAATAATTTGACCCCCTCTGCCTTGTGTCAGCCCCTCAGATACTGGAAGACTGCTATCATGTCTCAGGCCTATCAGTCTTCAGGCCCTTCCTAGGGGGCAAGTCTCAGATCTGGGGAGGGGGGATGTTCCATGCAGGTTGGGTGCCAGGGCAGAGAAGACTCCCTTCCTGGGTCCCACCAGATAACATTCGTTAGTGGATCAGACCTGTAGCAATGTCTCTGCAACTGGATCTGGTAAGACAGGTAGATGTAACTGGGGAGATGCGCCCCTCAAATATGTACCTTGTAACACAGTGTAGTAGTCCGTGCCAAACCCTTCTAGTTTCTAAAACCAACACAGAAGATTCAAGAAACAGGCAAGTCCCCTGAGACGAATGGGTTAAAAAGGGAGGCCATTTAGATTCAGAGTTTTTGTGTTTTCACTGTGGCCTCTGATTCCCAGCCATGGGAGAGCAGCAGATGTCTTATCCGGAGGGTCTGGCCACCATTAGCTGACTGAGACAAGATCTGACTGAAACAGGCAAGGCCACGCAGATCCCACTTTTGTCCTTGTGTTCCTCAGTGTACACAAAGACCAAGCAGGCTGGGTACCAGCCAAGCCTCACCAGGTCCCTTCCAACTCTGTTATTCTCTCAGAGCAGACCAGCACTTTCCCTTTTCCCAGATTTAGCTCTATTAATTAGCTGCCCCTCTTTTCAGTAGGCCCGCTTTCTCCGTTCTCTAAAAACAAGAAAGCAGAGTATACTTTAAACATGACAGGAGTCTGACATACGTGTCTTCCTCGTATGTAAACACCCTTCTCTGTCACTCAATTAAAAATGGCATTACTGCTATTTACTCAGGTTTAAGGAAAGGGCTTCCAAAATGAGCTAGCAATTTAATATCCTCCTCGTCTGCACAGCTGACGGGTTGGGTGGTGATGTTCAGATGGGTAAACTTTTGATCTCTTCTCGCTTTCCAGCCCAGCCTCTCCTAGAAGAGAATTCTACAGCACTTTCCTCCTCGTGCGGATTGTGGCTTTGAAGACTGGTGAGTCTTCTTCTCAGCTCACCCAGCAGCTCATAAATTCAGATTAATGTTCAGTTCATTTTAGGCTGACAAGCCACTCACTCTGGATAGAAACCAACAATCCAGCAATCCACTGTCAGCTGTTTCTCCTCTCTGCGTTTCAGGTGATTTCAAGACTGCCCCCCCAACTCTGTCTTTCCTTCTCCCATGAGACCCCTGAAAATCTCCTGTACCGTCTATTCCCAGCACATTATTAGCAAAGTGCAGAGTAATAACAGTTTGTTGGGCTTCTCCCCTCCATCTTGGTGCTCCCTCCAACATCTCATGTAACATGTAATGGCAGAGCCAGTTTGGTCTAGTGCAGTGATGGCAAACCTATGGCACGGGTGCCAGAGGCGGCACTCAGAGCCCTCCCTGTGGGCACGCGCAGTCGCCCCAGTCCCAGGCCTTCAGCTGGGTTTTATAAAACCTTTTCGCCTTAGGCCTCCACCGCCGTGTGCAAATAAAAAAAGGTTCAATCAATCAGTCAATTTCAACTTCTCACGGGGGAAAAAAAGATCTTGCCAAGTTGGAATTGATTGAACTTTTTAGTCCCACCCAGTCTGCCCTTACCACCGCAGCCACGCCCACCCAATGGGCCACGCCCACCCAATGGGCCACACCCCGCCTAATGGGCCACACCCACCCAGCACCCGATGATGCATAAGTGGGTTCTGGGTTGCAGTTTGGGCACTCGGTCTCTAAAAGGTTCGCCATCACTGGTCTAGTGGTTAAGGCCCTAGGCTGGAAAAGCCTGAGTTCAAGTCCCGCCTTAGCCATGAAAGCCGGCTGGGTGATCTTGGGCTAGTCACTCTTCCTCAGCCCAACCCCCGCCTCACAGGATTGTTGTTGTAGGTAAAATAGGAGGAGGAAGGTGTATGGGAGATATTTGCCATCTTGAGCTATTTGTAAAATAAAAAAGGTGGGACACAAATAAGTAAATAAATCTGCACTTGTAAAATGGGGCTTTGAGTGCCATCAGACTGGATGGAGGAACAAGGTGTGCTGATAAAACATTCTAGAGATTTTTGACACACACAAAAAAATTGAACAGACTCTGCGGGAACTATGTGTTGTCATTTTGGGACAGGAGTCCTGCCAAACAAGACTCTGCACAGGTGCACAATCCCGAGTGTGAATTACAGACTGCAATGACGAACATCTGCAAACCCACCGGCCTCCCTGAACTCAAAGGGAACCTCTCCCCTTATCAACATCAAACAGGTCATAGGCCTATGCCAGAGGTAGGCAACCTTGGCTCTTTTATGGCTCGTGGACTTCAACTCCCAGAATTCCTGAGCCAGCCATGCTGAGGGGAAAGGGAGAGGTTTCCAAGCTGAGCCATGCTGGCTCAGGAATTCTGGGAGTTGAAGTCCACGAGTCATAAAAGAGTCAAGGTTGCCTACCCCTGGCCTACGCTAAGCCTGATGGAAGTTCTCAACCTGAACCCAACTTCTTCTTAAAAAGGCCGGACAGTTTGTTACATCTCTGCTCCCAAGTTTCCTCTTTCCGCTCTGTATTCAAGATGGACAATGATTAATATTTATATGTAAGGCTGTAGGTATTATACATATGCTATATATATAGCAGGTTTATATGTGTGTTGTGTATGTGTACACTTTTGAGAGCAGGCAACAGAATTTCATTTCTAATGTGTGCCAGTGTGCCCACAGTAAAAAATGACAATAAAGGTTATCTTATCTGAACAGGCAGCATCTGGCAAGCAGTAACTTTTAAATCTCCCCAGCCCCAGAAGATGAACCTTGCCCTCATTCACAGCCACTGAGCCCAACAGGTCCCTGCACGCCTCACCCTTGTGTGCTTGGCTTCCAAGCAATCAGGGCTTGAGGAAAAGCATCGTAAGTACGCAACCTGTTGTGGGCTCTACTGACCGGTTCACTGTGATTCAAACAGATCATTCGTCATTTTTAGAAATGAAACCCTGATACAGAGACATTTTCTTCATGCATTTCAAAACTGATAATACAACACGAGAACCCCTGGCCACTGAGCTCCCACTGAGGCTTGTTCCGCTCATCCTGGCTTAACTTACCATTTTTGCTGGCATTCTGATCCAGAGATGTGTTGGCGGAAATACTGTCCACAGTTGTCCACTTTCTCAGCCGGGACTGCGGCTCCTTAATACTGCCCATATCCATATTTACATTCAAGTTTGCGTTCATTCCTGCATTAAAAGAATGGGTGAGACTCAGAGCAGCTCCTTTTCTAGGACAGAGCGTCCCTCTTCCTTCCCTCCCTCGTATCATGGAAGATCCAGCACATGGGACTGGATGCCACTAGACCTGCCCCAGACGGGAAGCAAAGCAAAAGACGCCCTGAAAACAAAGAACGGCACCAGGAAAGAGGAGAGAGGGGAAAGTGGCCACTTTTCCTAGAAAATTTGCCAAGTTCTCTTTTCTAATATGAATTTCATCTCCCAAAGCACTTAAGTCTCCACTGCCTAATAGAATCTTGCTCAATCAAGAATTTGTTCCTGGTTTCTCGTTTTGTATTTAACAGTGCCCTGGGATCTTTCCTCTGAATATTGCACAGGAATGCAGAGGCCGAGCACCAGATGGGACAGGAAAGCAAGGACTGGAGTTTGGAGGCAAAAAAAGCTTGGAAGAGGAGAATTAGATCAGAATTTGCAAATTCTGGCACCTGATCCTCCCCTCCTTGTGCAGTGCCGAATATCATTTCTTCACGATACTGACAGGTTTTGGACGTTGGATTTTATTGACCTCACTCAGAAAACCTTCCACCAGCAGGATAATACAGAGCAAAGAAAGTGGCTTAGCTGGGCAGCCCATGGTCAAACCCAACTCCAGGAGACCAGAGTACATTGGAAGACCTCGACCAGTGGAGAAGATACTCACCTATAGGAAAGTTGCTGAATGCGTTGATTTGAGATGGCCCTTTCTGCAACTCTTGGTTAGCGTGCGGAACAACATTCTCCAGGAAAGATTTTATGGCTGTCTGATGGAACTGCTGTTGTGATGGAGGCACCTGCTGCTTCATCAGCAGACTTGGATCGAGCTGACAAGATGGTGGCATCATTTGTTGCTGCATATTAAGAGGGCGATTCTTCAAACGCAAAGAGAGGACCAAATGATTAATGGAGCTATGATACAATCCACCAGTGGCATGATATGCTTCCAGTGCTGAATTATTAATTATTAACTTAACAATTACTGTTAACTATTAACTTAACTAGAGTTAAGTCAACAAAATGGTTTCTTCTTCAGTCAGAAGACCACAGCTATGAATTCCAAACCACATGGGGTCAACTCTAAATGGTGAACCATTTTGCAGACGCTGAACCGAATTACAGATTGTTTTGCACATTCAATTTGCTATTAACATGAATACAGAATAACAGAGTTGGAAGGGACCTTGGAGGTCTTCTAGTCCAACCCCCTGTTCTAGCCCAACCCCCTATGCCATTCCAAGTGGCTGTCCACTCTCTTCACATTCAAAACTTGGGAAGGATGAAAGGGCCAGAACAGTATGGATATTCAATTTCCATGGTGCAACAGCCACAAAGCAAGATGCCCATCGCAACTGGTCTCCGTGCCTCCAATTCAGCACTTGGCAAATGCCTTTCCAAAGGCCACCCAGACTTTCTTGGCAATCTCATTCAACGTCGGAGGATAAAAATCTTTAAATAACACCCAGCGTGAGCCTACCTGTTGCTGCTGCTGCTCCTGGCGGCCATTTGCAGGCGTGTTCCTCTGGCCCTGCACTTTCCTCTGCTGGGCCAGCAATCGCTAAGACAGTAAACCAGGGTTGCAAAAGAGGTCAGAGTGAGGACACGTGCTAATTCAGAACACTAATCTCAAGGGGGGGGGGGGGGCAGACTGTCGGACATCCGCTTACCTGTAACTGGGAGAGTTGGTTCAACTGGGAGAGTTGGTTCAACATGGCTACTTGTTGTGGGCCAAAGAGTGAGCTGAGGCCCCCGGTGTTTGGTGCATACTTCAGCAATGATACTGGAACCTAAAGTGCCAAAAGAGCATGCCGTAAAGGAGAGGCCAAGGGAAAAAGCACCTCTGGCAGATCCTGATGCTTTGAGGTGGTCGGAACAGAACACTTGATAGCAAAGAGGACAACAGGAACGGACTTGGGGCACATACAATTCTGTATGCTGCTGCAGATCTGTGTTTTTTGCTTTGACTTTTGACTCTCCTCCATGCAGGACTTTGAAGAATCCGCCAAATGCCTGTTTAGTCTCTAAAGGCATCTAATCCAAGGCCCAGGATCTGACCACCGTGATCTGTAACTGGCTTCACTGCTGAATTGCTCTTGCCGTTAGGGAGGCTTTTCTCTCAACCAGAATCTGCCTTCTGGGAGCTGAAATGTATTCGTCTGTCACCTGCGCTCTAGGATGGGAGGCAACAGACCTCTTTTTAGGCGCTTGAAAAGTTCTATAGGTGCCCCTCAACCTACAAACGTTGAAATCAATGGGGAAGCTGGCAGAGAAGGCTGCAAGTCACTGGGGTAAGTCTCCCTTGCCCACACTCCCTCCCCAGCCCCTCTCCACTTGTGCCGAGCACTCATGCCCTCTCTCCAACTGGCCTGGTTGTGGGAAGCTGGTAAGGAGTTACTTGAACTGATGAACATGGGATTCAGTTAATAACGGCAGCTGGGAATGCAAGGATTGCCATTGCTAAGCGATGTGGTTTCACTTTCAACCATATTATTTAGTAATGGAAATTCCACTTCAACTGCTGTCTTAAGCTGAAGACTGCCTATCTCTTAACCCGAATTCCTCTGCGCTCTCTTCGTGGGCTATCCTTCTTAGTCCTCTGATCACCTTCCTTGCCTTTCCCTGATCCAGTTTATCGGAATCCTTTTAACAGTTAATACTGGCCAGAACTGGATACAATACCCGAGGAAGGATCTAATGCAGCGGTAGTGAACCTTTTAGAGACCGAGTGCCCAAACTGCAACCCAAAACCCACTTATTTATCACCAGGTGCCAGATGGGCATGGCCCACTGGGTGGGCGTGGCTGTGGTGGTCATGGCAGATTGGGTGGGTGTGGCCAAGGTGGATGTGATCACCTCGATGTTGCTCGTGGGGAGGGACGTCTGTGGGGGCCGGGCAGGGTTGGGGGAGATCCAGGGGGTCTCTGGCAGGTGGGGCGGTGGGCAGGAGGCTCGTCCTGCAGAGTGAGGTGAGGCAGGGCGGGGGTGCCATTGCCATGGGGCAAGGCAAGGGCCGGGGCGGCTGCTACCAGACACCATCGGCAACCGCACACAGAGGCCAGCGAGCACATGGGGGCTGACAGTGTCCATCAGCAGCCACAGCCTGCGGGACCCTTGACTGGCGCACTCAGGGGCTCCGCAGCCCGTCGCCAGCAGTTCAAAGAAGCCGCCTCTGAGCTGGATGGCCGGCCGACAGCTGAGGAGGCGATGCAGTGGGTCGTGCCCGGGAAAAGGAGAGCATGCCAGGCCAGGAGGGACAGGACGGGGGGGGAGGGAAACCAGCCATGCTGGGATGCATCCAGCCACGTGGGACCTCGGCGAGTTAGCAGGCGGCTGGTTGAAGAGGGACAGTTGCCATCTCTGGGGTATGACATGCGTGCCCACAGAGGGCTCTGAGTGCCGCCTCTGGCACACGTGCCATAGGTTCACCACCACTGATCTAATGAATACACCATGAAATGGAAGGATTAATTTCTATGACTAGCAAGCCACCCGTGTTGATGCAGTCTAAAATTGCACTTGCCTTTTCAGCAGCCACATACGCCTGCGAACTCAAATTCAGCTTGCAATCAACTAATATTCCAAGGTATTTTTTTCACAAATACTGTTGCCTTCTCTCTTCCTCCCTTCTATTGGCTTCCTCCACCTTTCTCTTCCCTCCTCCCAGCCACACCCCACCGCCAGACCCCGGGCAGCTGCTCCTCATCTTCCTGCCAAATTGGCAGGGCTCCTGCAAAGCCTCTCAGCTGGCCCCATTCTCACCCCAACTACGCTACACACACATTTTATTTCTTTTAGTTATGTATAAAAAAAATCTGCATCTCCCTGTTAAATTTGGGTTTTTCTCAGTCCCTTTATCAAAACTTTTGAGACTTTTCAATTTTTTTCCCTAAGGCATTAGTTGCTTCAACCCTGCTTTATCTAAAATTTGGTAAGCATTCCCATCATCTATTTCTTCATCCAGGGCATTAAGAGCAAAGTGCCCAGAACCCAACCTTAGGGCACTTAACAGATATCATAATCTCCGAACATAATTTGTGAATCAGCCACATGCCCGTTTAATCGTCATGCCTGCCAACCCACAGATAATTAGCTTGCTAATCAAAATACCACGGGGTACCTTGACAAATGCTTGGCAGAAATCAAGCTAGGTGGTCTTGCTAGCATTTCACGGCGTGCCTTATGCAGAGGAAAAGGAGACACCCTTCCATTGTCCCTCCAAATTGCCTCCTCGTCCTTGTACCTGCCCACAAACAAGCGGAGCCTCACCTGAGGGGAGAGTAATGGAGGAGGCACTTGAGCGCGGGGGTTGGACTGAGAGGAGTGAAGAGGAGGCTGTGCTGGAGATGGCTGCATCGTCCGGGCTTGTGCTGTGAGATTTCCAAAGGGGCTGGGATTGCCGTTCTGCAGAGGGACAGGTGACAAGTGAGCCGCTGCCCCTCCGGCTGAGACAGGTAGGGGCAGAAACCCCCGTTCCCTTCCTCCCACCCCGACCTGATGCCTGCAGAGGCTGCCTCCCAAGTGCCACTCAGAAACACCTCTGGCGACTAGCCAGCCTAATGGAGCAGAAGGCTCTTTTTCAACAAGTGAGCTGGGAAGCCGAGGCCTTCGTTCACGCGAGGCCAATCATCCCCTCAGACTTCTACATCACGTCCTGCGCATTGCGACATCATGCCCAAGCCCGTCTGCCAGGACATTTCCCGCAAGGCTGCCCAGCCTCCCTTGCCCTCACCCGGGAACAATGGTGCCAATTTAGGTGAGAGAACAGTCAGTCAAAGTGAGCTTCTTCAGAAAGATCAGAAGCATGATTTTCAGATTTCCCAACCACCGTGGTTGGTCTCTGCTCCTTTCAAACCACAGTTGTGGCAACTGCAAGGAAAGGCCAAGCCCGAAACCGAGACCCTTTCTTTCTTTCTTTCTTTCTTTCTTTCTTTCTTTCTTTCTTTTTCTTTCTTTCTTTCTTTCTTTCTTTCTTTCTTTCTTTCTTTCTTTCTTTCTTTCTTTCTTTTTCTTTCTTTGTTCTTCAAGCCTCCCTTCTGAAAAGGGTACATTTTACATCTTTTCCTTGAACTTTTCAAAAGAGCTGCCGAATTCAATCAGATCCCAAATTAAGATAAAAGCAGGTGCAAAACAGAAGCCTGCTTGGCTGGTGCTTGCCGAATCTGGAAGCAGTTTAGCAAGTGGAGACCCAAAGAAAGTGAGGGATGAAGAGTAAAGGCCATCAAGGGGGAGACAAATCCGAGGCTGGGAAAGGGACGGAAGGCCAGCCAGAGAGTGAAAGAAAGAAGGAATTCTCTAAGTACATCAGAAATCTCGCCCAGAAAAGGCAGAGAGCACAGTGGCATAAAGTTGCATTTCACCCCAACCATCAACAAGGAAGAGGTTGCCTAAAGGGCTAAAAAAAAGGGGACAATCCTCTTTATTCAGAGGGCCTTCTCTAGCAGATTTGAGTATGGAGAGCCTCCCCTCCCCACGGGGGGGGGGGAGCTCTGTGCCTCCTACATGCTTGCTTAGAGGAAGTCAAGGGCTGGTAGTTCTACAGATCAGGGATTCTGCTTGAGGACTGCCAACCTCCCCTTAAGCCTTGCTGGACGTCCTGGGGAAGGGATGCTCCCAGCCTTACCTGTCTAACAGAATTCAAGCTTTGCACGCTCAGCCCCGTCAGGGAGCTGAGGACGTGGTTAGGTAGTGCACTGTTGGAAGGGGGAAACTTCCCATTCTGACTGGGCATGAACTGCATGTTTGGGGAATCGTCGGCTACCAGGCCATCCTGGAGAAGCACAAGCCGAGCAGCAGTGGGAGGGAAGAGGCCGGCGGCAGGAACAGATGCAGAAAACAGGAGAGAGGTTAGTGTCACCACAGGGCCGAGCCAGGCAGTTCTCTGCGTAGACATCAAATACAAAACGAACAAAACCAAATTTCCCCTCCGTGCCAGCCCTTCCTGAAAGGAGCAGGAGAGAGCAGGGAGTTGCTGATGATCCATGCCCTGATCAGCTCTCGTGGGCGCTTTGTGCTGAAATGGGCCTGTCCAAGCAGGCCAGATGGACCAGGTGCAAAGCTGCCCCCGCGGGGCCTCTGCTTCACGTGGAAAAGTCTCGCTCTGCTTATCTTCCAAGCTAAAATCTGGAACCACCAGAACAGAATGTTTGGGGGCCTGGTTCTACTGAACTTCAGCCTACTTCAAAGTCTGGCCGAACGTGGCCCAAAGGTGTTTTTTCAAGAGGCAAATGGACTTTCTTGTTTTCCTTTGAAGACGTTTCGCTGCTCATCCAAGAAGCTTCTTACGCTCTGACTGGATGGTGGGGAATGGAAGGATTTATATTTATATACCAGCTGTCTGCAAGGAATATAAATCCTTTCATTCCCCACCATCCAGTCACAGCTGAAGAAGCTTCTTGGAGCAGTGAAAGGTCTTCAAAGGAAAAGAAGACAGTCCAGTGGCCTCTTGAAAAAGCACCTCTGGGACAACCATGACCTGGATGACGGAGAATCTCCACAGACGTCTGGCAGAACTTGCAGTTTGTGGTTTGTGGTTTGGACTGAAATATATTCTGCCCAATGTGCACAGCCCTAGGACGGCTCCTCCCTGAACCGACAGGGAAAGCGGCGATAAGCTCATAACCTCGAAAGAGAAAAGGCCAGGTGGAGGAAGGCGAAGAGTCCTCCTCTCCACCAGAATGGCCCCTTGTCTTCAACAGTCCGCCTTCAGAGTCCCTTTGTGCATCCACAATCGAAGGAAGAGTGGGCCTGGGGTCACGGGCAACCATGGTGTCCCTCACCCCACCCCTTTGAACTCTTCCTCCCAAAAAGTCTCACCTTATCAAAATAAGGACTTCTGTCCATGGAAGACTCTTTGGCAATGTGGGGACGGGAGCCAGGACTTTTCCCAATCGCCCGGCTGCCTTCACCAACATTCAGGTTATGCTTCTCCAGCTCCATCCGCTTGTCAGGCAAGATTCCTGGAGGAGGGGGGGGGAGGAGGAGGAGGAGGAGGAGGAGGAGAAGGGGCTTCAAAATGCACTTAGGCACCAATACTGACATTCACAGCTTTCTGGAATTCCACACAGAGCAGGAAATACATTTCTTGTCAAGGAGGAGAGGGAGGCACTACACGTTAAAAGGTGTTTCGCTCCTTTGCACACCTTTAGACTTTAGAAAAGTCATGGTGACCTTTCACTAAGATGCAGAGGTGGGCAGTGATTCGATCTGAAGTGGGCAAGCCATCCTCTCTCTGCTTCCTTTGAGTTCAGAAGTCAACGCATCTTCCTGAGCCCAGCAACTCCTTGCGAGGACCTTCCAGCCAGTCCAGCAACAGCCCCCTCCCCAGTTCTGGTCTGCTCTGGATTGGAACCTTGCATACACTATAACTGTACACCACAGTAGTAGGGCAATTCACGGCATTTGGAGCTTCTAATTTCCCCCCATTTCATCCCAAGAGTTTCGTCCCGCTGGAGTTCTCATTGCTGCTCTGATTTGGAAAGAGCCATGCAAGCTAGTGAGCCAACCCCGCCCGTTGAGAAGGAATCCAAATTAGTCTTTCTCTTGAATTGTGATACAGCCGCAACAAGCAGATCCCAATTATATTTTGTTATGGCTTCCACTGTTAGGGATTTTTTTCCCCTAAGATTCAATCACAATCTGTTCCAAATTATGTGGCGTCCTGCTCCTTAGAACAATGGAAGATGGGCCCTCAGTTGCTTGCCTGAGGCAAAGACCTCACCTTCTGATCTTTGTGCTATCCTGTCCCGCCTCCTTTGGTTTCTCAACATGCCCAGTTCCATTTCTAGCCCCTGGGCTATCTTGCTGCTCTTCTCTCAACTTCTGGGGTGTCCAGAACAGGACACAATTTCAAAGTTCGGTCTGACCAAACACAGTGGAAGTGGATAAATAAAGTGGAACAACTACTTTTAGTGCAGGGGTGTCAAACTTGCAACGTCCCGTGACATGTCGTGACGTATCGCGGCTTTTTTGCCATTGCCGGCAATGGGATGGGTGCGGTTTTGCCATGATGCATCCGGCCCGTGGGCCGGCAGTTTGATACCCCTGTTCTAGTGATTTAGAATCTTCGCACTTTTTTCATTCAGCCTAGAATTGCATTTGCTTTTTTAAATCTGCCAAATCACCCAGCTGGCTTATAACTAGTTTTGGAAACGGTGTTTTCCAAAAGACCTATGACCAACCCGTCCTCTAGTGCTGTATTGGATTTCTGGTTCCCAAGTGACAAACTTTGCATTTGCCATTTGGATTTTGTTTTCTTCTTTTCAGCATTTCTCTAACCTACAAAATATCATTTACTACCTTCTAGAGGACTCCCTTTGCCACCTAATTATGTGTTACCTGGAAATTTAACAAGCATCCCCTTTGCCTCTTTATCAAGTGACTGATAGGGATACTGAACAGCACAGAACCAGGCCAGTGGCAGCCCTTGACGTACGACCTCAACTGAGCCCAAAATTTCTGTTGCTAAGTGAGGCATTTGTTAAGTGAGTTTTGCCCCATTTTACGACTTTTCTTGCCACAGTTGTTAAGTGAACCACTGCAGTTGTTTAAGTTAGTAACCTGTTTGTTAAGTGAATCTGGTTTCCCCACTGACTTTGCTTGTCAGAAGCTCCCAAAAGTTGATCACGTGACCCCCAGGACAAGGCAGCCGTCCTAAGTATGAGTCAGTTGCCAAGTATCTGAATTTTGATCACGTGACCACAGGGATGCCGCAACGGTTGTAAATATGAAAAATGGCTACATCTCATCATTTTTCAATGATGTAGTAATTCTGAATGGTCACTTGATGAAGAACCACCGAGGAGCACTTTGGGACTGGTTTTCAAGCCTGTTCTATATCTGTGTCACTGTCATGCCATTCAGTCCACACCTAATCAGCTACCTGGTAAGAAGGTGAAAGGGTACTTTGTCAGATGCTCAGCTGAAAGCCAGATGCTGGGTCTCTGGGGTATTTGCATCACCTACTAGGAAAATGACCCAGTGATCACCCCACTGCTTTGAAGGTGGATTCAGCCTGGTCTCTCAGGGTTTTCTCAATTCTTCGTATTAGACTGATGAGTCTTGGATTTTTCCCCCTTTGAAGAGACAGAACTCTCCCTTCTGCCCTGATCTTCACTAGCCTTTTTGTGCACATCTGCTCTCTTCCTTTTTTCCCTCGTTATGTAATCATTTGCAATTGTGTTTTTGGTATCTCCCATCTATTCTGATCTCCTTTTCCATGGGCTGAAAACCTGCAGCGTTGCTGCCTATCCCGATTTGCTACTGAGCTCTGAGTGGCTCCTACACCTAAAGAAAAGGGCCAGTGGACCCTATGAGCTGGGGGACACCCAGCCAACCCATCCCAGAAGACGTCCATTAAGGTGTGGAAAGCAACGATCCTATAACCAATTGGGGCCATGGTTATTTTAACAGGAAGCAACACATTCTAAGCCACTTATTTTCATTCTCGTCTGATGCTTGTCTTACCTCCAGATAGCTCCATCTTATTGCTCTGCATCATTTCTTCTGGCAAGTCTCTCTGAAGGAAAGAATGAAATTCGCTTAATCAAGGCAGTATCTGCATGCGGCCTTTCCCCCCTTCACGAGGGGAGGGGGGGCTCTTCAAGGAAAGAAGCATGCAACCCAAAAGGTGACAGAGAGTTGACTCAGGAACCGTCCGCTGCAGTGTTCTGTTTTCCTGCTATACTTACAGGGAACCCAAGATTGGCAAACTGCTTCACAAAGGGATTTATCCACATTTCATCTTGCTTATTTCCACTTTTCATTGTTCCCTAAAAACAAAACAATACAAAAGCCCAGCATCAAAACAGCAGGAAATACTAAAGCTGCAGACATGGTTATGAGAACATGTCTGTGCAGAAAACAGGCTCTGGTTTCAGCTTCAAACGACTCTTCTAGCTCAGCCCAGTGAGGAGGGAAGGTTACACATCTCAAAAAAAGACGCCTCGTGGCTTCATTGTCCTTCCCTTCTTCTTGCCTCAGGGAGTTGGGAGACCTAGAGGGACTCCATGCAGCCAAAGGGCCAACCTGGTTCCGCCCGGATTGCTCATCTCTTCTCCAAGCTCTGGGCAGAAAGACCAACTCATCCCCAGCAGCACCCCCATCTCCTTATCGAGGCCAAAGGCGGTCAGTACAGGGCCAACCCCTGGGGCTTAGCAAGGCAGATTTGGGTGGTCATCAACTGACCCAAGGAATTCCCTCAGAACTTCAGGCCCTTTCCTCACAAGGAGGCACCAGCTGGCAGGGGACCGTCTTCAGGCAGAGACTAGGATCTCTGCTCTCTCACTGTCCCTTATTACCTGCTTTCTTATCGCAGTGCAAAATGGTCTATTTCTGCCGGGTGAAGAAAGATCAAAGTCCATACTCCCCTCCCCCCCCCCAGCTTTTCTTGGACATAAACATGGCCTCCTTCCTCCTGGCATACTTACCTTTGAAGGCATCTTTTTTGAGCACGGGGGCCAGTGCAAAGGTGCACCAGCATCTTGAACAGAGTTGCTGTTCCACACGCCTATCTCCACATCCTCCTCTTCCTCCCAGCTGGCTGGATGATTCCCTGTCAAAGGCATATCACCCCCACACCAGCCATCGGGAACTTGCATAGACTTAGGTCCTGGTGGGGATAAAATCAGCCCGCTCTTAGCTTATCAACCCACTCAAATTAGGCTGCTCTGTCCCAAGAACCAACTGGGGGTTCCCAGGAGATCTCGCCCAGTGCCACCAGCAGAGGAACTGCTCAGGCCCGGTGCCAACCCACAGGTCCTGTGGCTTGTATGAACAGAGCATATTCTGCTTTACTGTCAGTCCTGACAAATCTGCCCAGAGGCTCACAAGTCCCATTTCCCCACAAACCTTCATACCTGCTTTATTAGATGCCTGCTGCCCGCCAGAAGCATTTCCCCAGCTGCTGGCACCGGTGGCGTCACCGACAGGCTCTCCCCAACTTGGACCAGTGTCCACAGGTTTGCCCCATGCTGATGTGCCATTATCTACTGTAACAGGTGCAGGAGGAGGTTCTCCCCAACCTTTCAAAACAAACACAACTTATTAGCAAGGCTGGGCCATAAAGCGCAGCCGAGTTGTTTGAAAGAGAGAGAGAAGCAGCCCAAAGCCAATTAAAAGTTCAAAGTTTTATCCCATGTGATGCTACAACGCGATCGGGCCAATCCCACATTAAAGAAATCCTTCTGGTAGGAAAGGAAAATGCTGTACGTGATACTCTTGTCTTCAGAAACAAAAGACCCTGACAAACACAGACAAGACTCGACTCTTTTCCCAGCTTGCTTTGACTGGAAGACCAACCAAAGGTTAAACTTATCCATCTATTTTTTGCAAAAAATCCAAGAATTTTGTGAAAAAAGACCCTCTGTCAAGTGCTTCCTGTTTTGACTCTCTGGACTAGAAGATTGCAAGCCCTTGATATCTCAGGAAGGAGTTCTTATGATCAAGAGTCTGATTGTGACATTGTTTTCCAAGGTGTTTAGGGGGAAGTGTACTTTAATACAAATAGGAAGGGTGCTGGATACCTTCTCACCTTATTTGTAAAAATAATAAAGGTGGGATACAAACAAACCCTCCCACACTGACCATAGGAGAACAGATTGAATGCTTTCGCCTTTTTCTCCTGGGGGTGCTACAGTGCCTGAAGTCAGGCGAGGCTGAGAGCGCCCATCAGCCCCAACCTTCTGCCCGGGGGCCCAAACCCTTGACCCGGCCCAATGTGGCATGGGGTCTTCATCACTTTGGGGTGATGAAAGATGCCCTGGTAACCGCAGGGAGCCCACTCTGCATTATGGGGGGTCTCAAACTACCTTGAGAGCAGCCCATCCTCTCACCCAACTTAAGAGTTGCTTAGGAAATGAGAAAGCAGGAGCTGCCGAAGACTTACCGGAGCTACTGCCGCCCCCGCTCTCCGTGCCGGCTGCGGAAGCTGAGGGCAACCGTGGCTGGTGCGCTTGCACGTCCGGTCGGCCCACGGGATTCGGGGTGTTCTTGTTCCACATGTTCACGTTTTTGTAGTTGTATTTGCTCGGGTCGCCCCAGGCAGAGGTTCCGTCGTCAATCTCAATTTTACGACGAATGGACTCTGGGGAGGGCTCCTCCCACCCGGTGGGCTCTTCTTCTTTGACTGGGGCCGGCATGGGTCTCCCCAGCCATCCCATACCTGACGGTTTGCTTGCAGCCGCCGCCACAGATGGGCCCCCCCAGCACGCAGCCTCCTGCTGCTTGCTCCAGTCTGGGGACCCTGAGGGCTTGGAAGGCTCCCCCCAGCTCTGGGAGCGATTTGGCTTGGGGGATTCCGCCCACACGGGGCTTGGATTTGGCTTGGCGGTCTCCTCCCACCCTGAAGCGCTGCCTGGCTTGGTGCTGCCGCCATTCCCCCCACCCCAGCGCCCAGAGTTCGATCTAGCAGGCTCTTTCCAGCAGGAGGTGGACCTGTCGCTGTCGCTACTGCCAGAACTGGACTTCTTCAACTCGCCCCAATGATTGTTCCTCATGTTCTCCCCCCAGCCGTCGCCAGCCCATCCAGGGTTGGCTTTGGGCCCTTCTCCCCATCCCTGCTTGAGCTTCTCTGTGTCGTTCCAGGTCAGTGATGGAGCCCGGACCTCTTGGCCCGTCATCCACGACTGGCTGTTCTTGGCCACGGTGGGCGCTGCGCCCTCTTCCCAACCTCCTTGGCTGCTGGGGCCTCTGGAGTCTCCCCACCTGCTTGCAGACTTAGACTCACCCCAGCTTGTCCCAGGGGAAGGACTGGGCCCATGGAGGTGGGGCCTCTCCGGAGCTCCCCCTGAACTGCAGGCTTGGGCCACACAACCCCCCCAGGCTTCTGTTCCATTGTCAGCTTTCTTTTCGCCCTTTGGCGTCACCTCTGTATCCCAGGCTGTGTTTTGTTTTATTGGGGTTTGCCCCCAACCAGAATTGGAAAGGACACGTGGGTCCAGATCTGTTCTGTTCACTATGCTTTGAAGCAGTGTTTGCTGGTCAATTTTCCTTCTTTCATGGCTTGCCCCTTCTGTGGAGGAGTGCTCCTCGGGGACCTCGAGATTGCCGTCACTGTCTCCAGAACCAGCCTTGGACCACCCACCATTCTGCTCCAGCGCCTGGGGAGCTGCACAGCACTGGGGGTCCACACCCACCTTCTCCTCCTTGGCAGATTTCCATTCATTGGTAAACATCTTCCCATTCCCACTGTTGGCTTCAGAGGAATGGCTGCTCGGGAGCTTGTTCCATTCACCATCTCCTAAGTTGGCATTCTGGGCAGAGCCTCTCCGGGCTCCTCCGTGGCCCATTCCACTTCTGGGCCCCCAGGCCCCATTCTGGCTATTGCCCATGCCTGCCACCTCCCACGTCCCTGTCTGCTGATCCTCTTTTATTTCCATGGTTGAGCTGCTGGTCCTACTCAGCCCAGGCTGCATTGGCGTTGCATTCACAGTGTCATTGTTAGCTTGGCTATTTGAGTCAGAACGGGTCTCTATGGAGTAACCAGGGCCATAGGCACCCCATCTAGTACCAGGAGTCCCACCATTTTTTGTGTCACCATTGCTCAGGTGCGAAATGGAAGTGCCGTTTGTTACTGGGGAGGCTGGAGGCTGAGGCCGATTGCTTTTGGCGCTCCGGCCCCAGGTCCCGGGCCCTGCATTACTAACCAGTTCAGTCGTCTGCATTGAACCAGCTGGGTTTGGTAAACTAGAGGTCATAAAGTTAGTAGTGTTCTTATTTGGTCCATTCACTTCGTGGTTCGGGTTCTGAGGCTGCCCACTACGTGAAAGTTTCCTTGTACCATTGAGTTGGGAATCACAGTTTTCCTGGAGGCTGCCCCAGGAGCTGGCAAGGCTAGAGTTCACACTCTGATTGTTCACCATCTGAACGGCACCTGTGCCGCAGCCACCGCTTCCTCGGGACCCTTTGAGGGCATGCCCGCTGCTCTCCAAGACTGGCCAGGCGTGGCCATTGGACGTCAAAGTGCTGGAATTTAATTCTTCATTGGCTGAACTGGGGGTGCCCCAAGCATTCACTCTATTGTTGCTACTTTCAGGGATGACATTGGAAGCATCTGCTGAAAGGGGACAGGGGCTCATCAAGGCACCCAGAGACACACCCCATGACTCACTAATGCTTCCGCTGCTCACATTATTGCTGTTGCTACTGCTGACAAGCTTGGCCTGATTAGCGTGTCCAATGCCGTTCTGCAGGTGGCTGACTTCACTGCTTGGGCCCCGTGAGGCCATAATAATGTTCCTCTCTGACCCGGAACTCAGGGCAGAATCAGCGTCCATACATTCTGAAGCCAGCTGCAAGTCACTGCCGGTGGTCGAGGGCCATGCCTCCTTCTCTGAACCGTCTACAACAGTTTTATCCCAGTTTGTGCTGGATTCACTACTGGAAAAGATCCTTTCCCAGTGAGCATTCTCATAATGGGATCCAAGTGTGCTGTGGTTCAGATCTAAGAAAAATAGAAAGCATTACTAAAAACATCGCGCGCAAAAAAAAAAAAAAAAACAGGTCGAGAGGAAACAATCCTTCTGGATCAGCGCCCCAGAAAATGGAAAGAACCAACGTCTGCTCTATTCTGAACAAAACAAGCAGAGGCACTTAACGAGAGCTGAGGAGCAGCGCAAACCTGCCTGGCTATTGAGGCCTCTTGGGAAAGTGTGTCTCACCCTCTTGCCTTCACTCATCTCAGCATCTGCAACCTCTGCTAGGACTTTTGCGGTCTCTCCTTCAGCCTTCCATCTCTACACTCCCTGCCCCGGATACCTTTTCCAGACCCCCTCACTGGATTTTTTTTTGGGGGGTAGGGGGGGAGAGCCTGAGGTTACAGCAAATGCACTACATCACTTTTCACTTTTTAAGGCTCAAATAACAATGTAGAACACTAATTTGTACTCATATTGTGTTCTGAAAAGCACAATATTAGACTTTCTGCATCAAAAGTAGTCTAAACCAGTTCCTTTGTGAACAATCTTAAGTTAAGCCAACGAGTATGTATTTCTGATCACAAACTTTATCTGAAAGTAACTGGGTAAGGGCCAATCAAAACCTGTGATATTTGATCTTTTCTAAATGCTTATTTTCCAAAACAATTTTAGCCTGAGATGATACAGATGTTTCATATAGTCATTTAAGACACTTCAGAATTCCAAGCAACACGTTAATCATCTGTCTTTCCCCTCTGTTGCCAGATTTACCACAAACTCCTTAATCTTTCATCAAAGCCTGGCCTGGGTTCCTCCTCCAGATATCTGCATTTCACTTTCATATGGCAACACATCCCTACTTGCCATCTCCACTTCTTGTTCCCTCCCCTCCAAAGTTTCCTAAGATCAAACTGCTCTGGGGTGATGCCCCAAACATTGTGCCAAGTGGCCTCTGCTTCAATTTTCTCCATCAATTCTGCATTTTCCATGAGGTTCAAGCAGAAGGCTCAAATCCCTGTGCCCAATTCACATCCTGAAAAATATTCTGATGCAAATAATATTCTATTGCTGACCCTATTTTGTGGCTATCATGGTCAATGAAGACTTTGCTGTACTACTTTTTAACTTTTGATTTTTTTGTTACCAACTACCTCCAAAAAGAGAAACTTCTTTAATGACGCTTTTGAAAATGGAATCTTACTCATGGCTCCAATGAGGATAGAGAAATGCAAAATACAAGGATGGAATGGACTATTAACAGCTGATGGAAAAAAGAGCTGAGTGGTAAGAGCAAGGATTTGAAAAAAAGGAACAGAAAGCAAGTTTGCAGAGGCACAACTACTACTGGAAGTAGCGGGAAGCAGCTCACACACGGCACACTTATAAAATAAAGGGTTCTGCTGCATTCAGCGGGGAATCACAGCATGCTGTGAATGCTGAATCCCAGGACTCTTTCATCTTTCCCTGGGAGCTAGGCCAGGCCCACCTGAATCCAGCATTTGGGGGTCCCACTGTGGGCAACCAGATCACACTAGGGGCTGTTCACAAATGGGTAAGAGGATACGTCCCCTGTCCCCCCCTGCTGCTCCCAACCTGGAAGTACCTGCTGCTCCCAACTGCTGGAAGTACCTTGCATCTTCAAAATCGATACGTCCCCTGTCCCCCCCTGCTGCTCCCAACCTGGAAGTACCTTGCATCTTCAAAATCGATAGCCCTTAACAAGGCCTGTCCTTTGTAGAACCGACCCAACTCTTTCCAAGACATCATCCATGCCTGGGGGAACCTTGGCGACTGCTCAGGTACAGGGTACAAGCAGTGAGACCCCTTCTCCTTCACCCTGTGAAGCCCCTCCAGGTTCTCACTCTGCAGATGTCTGTTTCTCTGGCATGGACTCTATTTCAACATGGACTAGGCTAGTCTAATCCTCTCCCTAGGCTAGGGGAGGCTGGCAGGCATCTTCCAGGTACACGTTTTCCCTTTTCTGATCGTCTGTAAGAATTCTGACCTTACAGTGTTTCGGATGCTGGGAAAGACCGGAGAGAGATGTGTACTCCAGGCACTGCTTAAGACTGCTCTTCCTTCAACCCTAAAGTAGGGCTGCTGGTGGAGAGAAGTGGCCTTCTCAAACACTTTTGAGTGGCTGTCTGTCCTGCTTGATCTCCACCGGTGTCCTGCAAAAATCTATCAGCCTTCAAATATTTCTTTGCGCTCTGGATCTGGGGAAGTGGTGAGGATTACCTCTCTCCCAGCCCTACTCCGCCTTCCAGCAGGAAGTTAGGCTCAGTAGAAAGCGGCAGCAGATGAAGGGAAGAAAATCCTTGGGAAGAAAATCTAAGTACAGAAAGGACTTGGCAACAGGGCAGATTCCCCAACCTTTCCATTTGCATAAGTGGTGTGCACGCGTGCCTGCTGCTCCTGCAAATGGAGTGCGTGTGTATGCGCTCGCCCAGTGCTCGCACAAGTGAGGATGTGTGTGCCTGCCCGCCGTTTCCGCAGCCCGGTTGCAATCCCCTCATGGCCCACTAGTGGGCCGCAGCCCAGAGGTTGGGGACCCCTGCCATACAACACGTTCCAAAATTTCCCAAAACATTTACTGGGCCACAATTAGGTCTCTTCAAACCTGCTGGTGGGCATTTGAAGAAGAGGATGCTACTTCGTAGATCCTGGAAGTCCTCTAACGAGGGAAGACATCTGAACTGCTCTTACACAGTGCTGGGTGAGGCTGGAGCTCTATCTACGTAAGAAAGGTTAGCTTCAAGCAGACCTTCCTTTTTTCTACTTTACCGTTTAGCATGAGATGGGATCCAACCTCTGCAGTGGTAATGCTGGCAATGCCAAAGTGGATGGGGAGGTTCTGCAGCTGATCTATCCTATTTCCTTGCAAGAGGCAAGACCAGAGCCTTTACTGAACAACCAAGCTCGGTTCCCGTGGCTGCGTGCAACCTTACTGCCCAGCCACCCTCCTTTATGCTGACATTCCCGGGCTCAGGTGGATGTTTTGCTCCCTCTCACCTGGCTGCTTCTGGCTGCTGCTGTGTCCTTGGCTGTCAGAGACCGGCTGCTCACGGGTCCCGGTGCTCTCGCCCGCCTGGCTGTTCAGCAATTTAGATGGCGCCCTCAGGTTGGCAGCAATCCCCGGCAGTGGCTGTCCTCGCTTCAAGAGTTGCTTCTGCTCCTGGTGCCGGAACCGTGGCGGCACTTCTCGAGGTGGGTAGCGTGGTGAAGACGGCTGCTGCGCTTGCGGATTGTTGCCCACAGCCCGTTTGGCATTATTGTTGCCACTAATACTGCCGGTGACTATAGACGTGGGAGGAGGGGCTGAAGCAGGGAGTGGCTGGCTGGCACCAGGCTTTGGGGGTTCTAACACTGTCCCCCCCCCCCAAGAGAAGAGGAGAGAAAAGGAGAATACACTTAGTAAATTATTGCAAACACGCTTTTTAAAATACAAAAACACAAAAAGTGGCTGTTAAGAGCTAGTTGAGTGTTCCTTTATTTAAGGTAAATTAATTTATCTACTCTTACATGCCACTCTGATTGCAAACAACTCTGCATTTCCAAAATAAGTTCCCCTGTGATAGGTCTCAACATTCTACTGTTACCAGGCATGAAACTTCTTGACCAGCTAATTTGAAAATTGTTCTCTATAATCTATTCAACATATTTATGAATGCCCCAATGCCAAAAGAAATATAATAGCATGATTACCATAAATACAAGTTAAGAAATGCTCAAAATTGACATTTTACCCAATTTATCAAGATGCACTTTGTTCAGAATACAAAGAAACATTACTCAGAAACTTCCAGCAAAAAAAGCAGTGACGTTTTGGCCAACAGCTCCAAGTTGTTGCATTACTGGCAAAAGTTGTTGCATTACTGGCAAAAGGAGCACCAAGAATGTCCAGGTCCACTCTGAAGGCAGAAGGCTGCTATTGGATCTGGCCTTCCAAATGGAAGGGGCCACTTCTAAGAAGAGGTGCAGAGGTCTTTAGAGCCTTTCCGAAGACCAGGTGCAGTGCAATGGTACCAATTCTTGCTCTCCCTTTCCGTGGGGTGAGAAAAGAATAGGTAGGAATCTGGCCTTATGCTAATATGTCATCTTCAAAGAACACACAGTGGAAGGAGGAGAAGACACCGAAGGAAGAGGGCAGGAGAAATCAGAGGAGCCGTGTATAAAGACTAAAAAGAATTTCTGTAACTCTAAGGGCCATAGGGTGCAAGTGGCTAATGCTTTCAAACTGCAGAGAACACACCATTTTTATCTCTGGCAGAGCTCAGAGGCAAGAATGACTGGATAAAATGGAGGAGTAAATGAGTCAAGTTGCACTGCAATTAGTTTAATGGTTTTGTTTTCCAATCCCATTTGGAAATACGTGGGTCTATTTAAATCTATTGTCTATTTAATCTATTTATCAACGGTAAGCAAGCAGCGTATCAGCATGTTGCTATTCTGTAGCAAGGAAGAGTCAAACAAGTGCCAGCTGAGATAGGAATAAAATAACACTGAAGGTGAGGAACTGTTCTGCTGTTTACTGACAAAGGAGAAAATTAAAAAGCTGTGTCTGAAGCTATGCAGGTTTATTCAGTTAATCCTTTCTGAACACAGAAAGGGCTATTTAATCACTTGCACTACTCTTCCAGCTAATGATTTGCTTTTACTCAGAATAACTCTAGAGGTAGGAGTAGAGCTGTGCAAGTCTGTGGTAGCAAAAAAAAAAAAACTAGGAATGTGGTAGCATCTTTTTTATCTGGTGAATGTTTATGCCTTTTAATAAAATTTGTTAACCAAAAAAGCTAGTGATGAACATATTATTGCTAAAGTTTATAAAATGTTATTGAAGTTAAATCTGGGGAATGAACAAGTAAAAAACACTGTATGTTTTGGGGGACCACTGCATTAATATATATTGCAAAGATTTGGTTATGGTGCTGGCCTAGAAACTAGGAGACTGAATTCTAGTCACCTCACAGGATTGTTGTGGGGAAAACAGGAGAAAGAAGGGGTATTTATTGGTATGTTTGGTGCCTGGAGTTGTACATGGGGGAGGGGGGAGGCAGGGTGATAAACACCTAAAAAACCCCAACAGCAACACAACATTTGATGCAACAGGAACAGTATTACTTCAGCTTGGTCAGAATCTTTTCTGAAACAGGAAACCAGATGTTTGCAGATCAAGAGAGCCTCGGTGGAAGTTCAGTTTTATTTCTCAGAGAACAAAGACGTGTTATCAATGTAAGAATGTCCCACCCCACAAAATATTTGTGAATGGATACTTATCAAGGAAGCCTAAATCTTCTGCTTTTCTGTTTGCTTTGACTTCAGAGATCTTCCTTTTTTGTTTTGTTTTGTTATGGAAAGAGAGGAAGATGTTTCTCTTAATGAGATCTTCATCCTAGAGGTGGAATATCTGTAAACATCCGTAACATCACTGTCAACTACAAAATGGGCTAGCAGCCAAAACCTTGAGGCTGCTTTTAGGGCAAATTAGGCTTCAAAGGATTATTAACTTACTTACTCCCTTGACTGATCCTCACTTTGAAGTTTGTACGATATTGGTCGTACCGGAACCTTTTCCCGATTTCCAATTTCAATACAAGCAAGAATTTTCTAGAAGCATCTGGTCCTAACTTTCAATTATTTGAACAAGGTCAGTAAAGACAGGATCTGATCATCTGTCACGAAGAGCCATCCTATGGAACCAGAAACTAAACCCCTTTATTGCACAAGGTTTGTTCTTTTATTGCTCCCTTTAAAGCAGGGGTCCTCAACCTTGGCAACTTTAAGACTTGTGGACTTCAACTCCCAGAATTCCTCAGCCAGCAAAGCTGGCTGAGGAATTCTGGGAGTTGAAGTCCACAAGTCTTAAAGTTGCCAAGGTTGAGGACCCCTGCTTTAAAGCCTGGTTCGCCCGCTGCTCTAAGGAATGGCCCAACAAGCTCTCAGCCTCCTCTGGCCCCACACCAAGGGCGCCTCCCAGCAGCCCCAGTGGAGGAACAGCAAGGTCAGCTCGGCACTGGGGAGGCCTTTTTGTCCTCCAGGAAGCGGAGAGAGAAACAAGAAAGACCTGCCACTTCACAACGCTAAACACTCTCCCACCAGCAAAATTGTGAGAATGAAAGGTTTTCCGGCTATTTTAGTATTAATCCAGAGAAAAGGAACCGATCCAAGTTTAAGGAAAGTTTTTTTTTCTCGGCAAACTTATTTTCCAGAAAGTATGCATTTTGCGAACGGTTTTAATTCTTGCTCAGCTCTCACATAAGAAAAATAAAAATGCCGAATTTTGCTGTATTAAGGCTCACTTCAACTATCAACTAGAAATATATTGATATTTTTGAAATAACTCAGAGAGCTGATGAACATACTATATTTCTTTAACCGAATGCCTTCAAAAGATCAGTCTCCTTGGTTCAACTGAACAGCATCTATTAATGCTAAACAAACAAATCACAGGGATGTTTTGGTGGCGTGCAGAATGTTACAAAGGATTTCAAGTGTGGCCTGCTGGAAACCACAAAGTAAGACGGGAATCAACCACTCTGAACTCAGACAGAACACTTCAAAGTTCAAATCTGAAACATCCCCCCTTCAATTTTTGCAATGCAACGTGCTGCTTGTATATCGAGCACATTTTGTAGGAAGCACAAGGGACAATGAATTTAACTGATGAAGGAAAACAGTTTAGCTGGCTTCAGTTCATGTGAGGAAGGACCAGATTTCTGCTCAATCAACCATAAAACATTTGTAAGCTCTTCAACTGAAACCAGTTGGGGGGAGGAGAGTTCAGATTTTGGCTTGATGTCATGGTTCCGAAAGAAGAAGCTTTTCAAAGAACTTTGAGGCCTTGTTTACCTTAAAGAATCCTTTTATTGCTACATAGCTTCCGCACGTACATAATGAAGCCAAAATCTGAATTCTCCTCCCCCCAATCAGCCATAACAAAGCATAACTCACTCCTTCATTTAACAGTCATCAATCACGTTCTCCAATTAGTTTGAAGTGTGAACTTTCCCTCCCGTATCTCCTCTGGTTACAACTAACCTTAAATAATACTGTATTGAGATATTGTTATAGCTAACTATTCCCCAAGTATATTCTTTCCTCCTCCCTTCCCACACTAACTTTAACTCTAGAAGTAATACACAGGTTAAATAGAGAATGTCTGCTTCTTCATATATTGTCAAGCAAGAACATCCGATGTTAGCAGCCTTGACATCATGCACAGAAGAAAAAGGATTTTTCAAGTCTCTCAGTTCTCCTGGATGGATAAGCCAGACAGGAAACAGAAACAGATGAGTCAATTCTATGGCCTTGGAAGGCTACATTAACAGAACCTTGCAAGTTTGAAGGTACAAACCTCCTGCTGCCACTTTTAACTGCTTCATCCATTCCTAAATTTCTTCCTCTGACTGTTAAGCCACTGGGGGTCCTGCCTCTCTTGTCTGTTTCCTAGGCAGCTCCTCTTTCCCTTGTCCCCCCTAAGTCATCCACACATTCCACAACAAGTCTAAGAGTTGATCCATCTTGTCTATTTCTGGCCTAATGCACGAAAATGGAAGCATGGTTTGATCTTAAACGCAACCATTAAAAAACACCTAAGCGCTCTTAATGAATTTGGTGCACAGTGCATAACTTCACAATTTTGGTTTTCTGAAAGCAAGGCTTCTAGCTTCAAGGGAGTAAATGCTGGCTTTTCAAATGCTGCAGGCAACGTTTGATGAGTAATCAGTAGCATTTCCCTCTGGACCTCTGCCACTCTCTCCTTCCTCTTCAGCAGATTATGAACCATGAGATGCTTAGCAGAAGGAATTTCCTACGGTGAATTTGTTGCCTTTTGCTCTCCTCACTTTGTGGGTCTCAATGAGTAAGGTTGAGCATGACAAGGGATCGGAAGAGCAAACTGCTTGCAGGTGCTTTTCAGGCCACAAAGGTGAACACCTGGAAGTATTTGATCATAACTCCATCAGGTCTCTTATAGAAACTGCATTCAAACCATCTCCTGTACAAGAGGACACGTATCAAAGTTATGGAAATAATTGTAGTATTTCAAATAACTTACCTTTGTTTTTTTGTTCAGTGGCCTGTGAAACAAAAAAAAAATTTGGTTACTGATTTCCTTATTCTCTTTTGATCAATACTGGTTGATCTATTATCAATTTAGGGGCATTATTGGCTTTCTTAAGGCTAACCAGAATGTAGGAAGAATGACAAGCATCTCAGGGGGAACTTCCTGACTGTATCAAGCTGCAGATGACTGACATGTAGACATGAGGTCTTTTTCAGTGAAAGTCTTCAAAGGCGGCTAGACCATGAAAGGGAAACTTACCAAAAATGGGTGGAGATCATCTGAATCCTTTTCAGTCAGGATTTTATTTATTTAAATGACAAGGTTGCCCTACTCCTTGATGACTCTGGGTTTTTTGTGTTAGTTGGTTGTACCTGTTTATGCAATACACATTTGTATCAGCTCTATAGATTCCAGGTCAGACATGGAGCCATCCAACTGAATGATACCGGTAAGGAGGATGTGGCAGAGACCCCCTTCCACCCACAGTTTTCACTTGTGTTTTCAGCAGCGGCCAAGGGACCAGGTGACAGGTCTTCACAGGGATGGGCCCTACTCTGTGGAATATTCTCCCCCACCCCTTGTGTGCAGATGGGCTTGAAGATGCATATGCAGATCAAGGAAATCTGGTTCAGTCTTTATCTAGTTTGTTTAGCTTTAAGGGCACTCGTGATGCTTGCTGGTTGGTTTTTAAAAAATATTTTAATTTTTTATATACATACATACATACATACATACATACATACATACAATATATATATATTCTGTTTGCTTTGATCTTATATCCCGACCAAAGTCTGGTAGGAATGGGGCAGCCTATATTGTGAAACAAACAAACAATATTGAATGTTTTTTTAGAAAGCGACTCAGCACAATTACAATAGACTTTCAAGTAAAAGCTCTCAGAAGTTGTTATCTCTACAATAAAAGAAACTAACATTTGTTTTTCAACATATTTCGAAATTTAGCTCTAGAAATCAAATCCAATGAAAACTTAAGGTAGTAAACTAAACGGAGTCAAGCTTGAACTTGCATTTTAAACTAAGTATTGCAGAATAAACTAGAGAGTGTCCCGTTCTGAAGACAGCTTGTTCTTCTGCCAGAACACTTTCCTATTCAAGCTAAAGGGCTGATGTGGTCATACGTGGTCTTCCTGCATGGGAATGCTTATGGCTTGGCCCAATCCCTAGCAAACCACAGCAAGTTAAAAGGAGGATAGCACAGCTGCAATCTGCAGAGCACTGTGGAGACTGCTCCCTCCCCAGGCTGAAGGAGTAAAAGGTAAGTGAGGGATCTGTGATGGGGGTGTGGGGAGTAGCGTGTGGGAGCCTGCAGGATGGGAAGCTGGCCCAAGACCTGTGGGGATCCAGCGAGGTGGGATGGGAGGATTGAGGGGACGTGACCTGTGGATAGTTGTAAAGGTGAACGATTGTGGGGACACTGCAATGCCCATAAATTTGAAACCAGGTTATAAATAGCTTTTGTTATAACTTTGAACAGTCTCTAAGTGACCAGTTGTAAGTCAAGGACTACTTAAGGTTTGATTCTAATAAATAAATTTCATGGAGGCTTTTAGTAACCTGTACACTAAATTAAAAAAAAAATTCTAATCTCAAAACAAAACGGTCCCCCACTCAAACCTTTTGTTATAGTATTTCAACTAGCATTTGGCTTGCTGGAACCCCAGCCCCAATTCTTTTTAAAAAATGTTCTGCCGAAAGAAACAATGGGAACTTAAGTCCCCTTATTGTTTCTACAGAAGGATGACAAAGGTAGCTCACGCTGGGTGCTATTTGTCAACTAACAGAAAAAAGGTTAAGCAAATGATTAAAAAGAATATTACATCAGCAAGTGATAAGGAACAGTTAGACACACTTTTTCAAGACTTCATGTGCCTGACATGTAATCTTGTAGACAAACAGCAATGAATTAATTTCCACAAAATATACCTGAAACATAAAAACAGCAAAAATGTTGACTTTATCTTCTAATACATGCATTGCATATTTTTGATTTTGGTTGCAAAACTCAAATGAAAAATATATTTTTTCCATCTGCTAACTGGAAAGCCTATACTATAAATAGTGTCTGTAATGCACGTTCACAAAATAGTTGTGCATTCTACAATATAAATACAGCATATATCTGAAAAAAATATGACAATGGGTATTTGGATATTTTTTAGATTAGTAGGAGATAGAAAGGAGAGCGGGGAGAATACAATCGTGGTTTCTCCCAGCAAAGCTTTTGACTGGATTGTTTAAATTACTGTCTTGATGAACATATGAACATATTTTACTTTTATTTTTGTCTCGTCTGCATTTTTAAAACATTGTTTCCAAAACATTTCCAACATATTAAAGACTATTCCCGCTCAATCATTTGAGCCCTAACTAGGAATGAAGAAAAAGACTTGTATGTCTGAAACTGAGCATTTATGTGTCGTGGGATTTTTAAAAATATACTGTACACAGTATTTGAGGCACTTAAGGAATCTTTTTTAGCGTAGATCCCCATAAGTGACAGTTACCATAGCTAACAATTTTACCAGGTTTATTTATTATTCAAAATGCTACCTTGTTAAATCCATATGCCATGACTGCACCTTCTGTGGATAATTGGGCCACAAGCTAATGTTTATTGCCAATAATCAAACAAGCAGAAAGGGCAATGTTGCAATATACCAGAGGACATAAACCCCCCCCCATTTACTTTTCCAGCAACTAGTAATAAGAGGGAAAGTGCCTTCATTATTGTCATGCCCTCGATAGCCTTATTCTCCATGAATTTCTAATCCCCTTTTATAACCTGTATCGGCTCACGTGAAATCTTATTTTGCACACAAAGGTTATGAATTCTACTGGTTAACGGAAAACTGTGTAGATAAGAAATGTATCACTATTATTTATGGTGAATCTCCTGCTGCAGACTGTAGCATTACTGTTACAATGTGTGTGTGTGTGTGTGTGTGTAATTTTATTAAATTTTTATGCCACCCATCCCTCCTATAAGGTGGCATTACTATTGCATGCCAGACCATTATACAGTACTCACTTTTTTCCCTAACGAAGCGTATTAAACGCCCCCAAGAGCACGTGTCTTAAGCAGCGCACACACCTCCAGAGCACCATTCTGGTGACCTGAGGGCACTGCTTCACTTCATGAGACATCTTAATCTCTGGCTCACCTTCTTCTGAGCAGCTCCTTTCTTTCTCTTGTCGTCTTTCCTCTTTCTCTTCTCTTCCATTAACTGTTCCTCCTCCTCTTGCACCAATTCCCTAGAGGACAGGGCTGAGGTTAGCAATGCATTCTGAGGAAAAATACCCTAACTACTACAGGTAGTCCTCAACGTACAACCATTCATTCAGTGACCGTTAAAAATGGCACTGAAAAAAGTGACTTATGACCCATCCTTGCACTTATGACCGTTACAGCATCCCCATGGTCATGTGAATAAAAATTGGGGACCTGTCACTGGCGTGCATTTATGATGGCTGCAGGGTCATGTGGCCACCATTTACGACCTTCCCAGCTGGCTTCTGACAAGTAAAGTCAATGGGGGAAGCTGGATTCACTTAACAACTGCAGTGATTCATTTAACAACTGTGGTAAAAAAACAACTGCCTTATCAATGCGAATTCTGGTCCTAACTGTGGTCATAAGACAAGGACTACCTGTAATATGTTCCTATTAGACCTGGACTTCATTTTTTAATAAAAACAAAAAGCGACATATTAGTTTATTTGTTGCACTTTCTTTTTTTAAAAAAACCTGTTTGTTGCATTACGTTAAAAAAACAAGTACGATTAACTATCCTAGAACTTGTTCAGAGAAGGCACAGCACTGAGCAGAATTTGGAGGTTAAGGTCTGTGGAAAAAGGCAAGGACTTGAAATGGTCTAGGGCCTAGGCTCTCCTGCTTGAGTAGGGGGTTGGACTAGTAGACCTCCAAGGTCCCTTCCAGCTCTATTTGGTTCTACTTGACAGGAACGTAATGCAGGGGGAGATGAGAAGAAAAGGGGAAGCATCATCCAGGCTCACACAGAAAGGGTCCAACAAGATGACTTTTTAGCAAAGTAATCCTTCCATGAAACCAATGGGTAATTAAAGTCCAATTTTATTTTCATTATTATTTGGTAACCAAAGGCTGCCACCTCATGAACATTGTTTTCAAAAATATATTTACTATACAGAATGTTGCCAATTTAGCCTCAAAAAACTTGGTTTGCCCATAAGTATTTCCAAATAAGGGTGGAAATACTGCCCCCCCTCCCCCCAGCCTCCAAAAGCTGCTCTGGTCAATGAAGACAACGTTGAGGTCAAGTGGACAAAAAGCTGCATGAGGAAGTGGCAAATGTCTCTGAATTAGCCAGTCTGCACACACACACACACACACTTTTTTGAAAAAACCTAAATCCTAGCTTTCTTCCATATCATTCACTAAATTTTACTCTTCAGTTAGTATCAAACCAGTGACAGTTAATCCTTTTCTGCTTGAAGGGCAGCATTGTCAGCGAGAGAAGTGAGGCGCTTCCTGAAAGAACCATGCTCAGTTTGTCTTCCAAGAGAGGTTGGAGCAATTAAAATCCTTCTTCATTCTAATAGCCCTTTTGCCGTTTTTTGCTTTGGAACGCAGCATCTATAACCTCTCGATTTATTGTAAACGGCATAAATAGTACAGAATTGTTCTTGTTTCTCTCTTGATTTTAATGCCAATGTTTTCCACACTTTTACTAAATTAACTCACTTTAATTTCTAAGCAGGTGCAGATAAGAGTATCCTCCAGCTGCTATAGTCAATGCAGTGTGGAAATTATCCCAATGAGATCTAGCGCATTGAATTTGCTTTTCCACTCTCAGAGTTCACATTCATTTTGCTCATACCAGACTCTGAGCTTTATGGCAGATGTAACAAAACTTATCAGCTAATGCTTTTCCTTGACTTATTTAATAGATCCTATTACAGCTACTCTCCCACTTCCTTCTGCAGGTTTTTATCTAAAATCCTTACTGTGGGTCTTGTGTTTCCAAAGTCTACAGGATTCGGGCTAAGCCCCTCATAAAAATCATAAAACCCCTCAACTCTTTTTTCCACCATGTATTCAAAATGGACTGTGGACTATATATGTGTGCGTGTGTATGTGTATATGTACATGTACCCTGACCCTCACCCTGACGAAGCCTGGAGGTCCAGGTGAAAGCTCGGTTTATTAGTATTTAAATATATTATTCATATATTTTATCCTCCTGGTGTTCTCACCTTTTTTGGCCTACCTTTTAACTATGAATATACCCAGGAGACACCTCTTTATTTTTAACATATGTACATGTGTATATATGTGTGTATATTCACATATATGTATATGTATGTATATATGTACGTGTATGTATATGTGTGTATATATATGTGCACATATATGGTGTATGATATGTATGTATGTATGTATGTATGCATGCATATTGTCAAGAGTGAAAATTTGGCAGCTATGTGTCTCTGTTTTAATCTTGCCGTTAGAATAAGGGGGGAGGGAGGTGTTGCTTTCGAATGGGTTAGTTAGAGCAGGGGTCCCCAACCTTGGCAACTTTAAGACCTGTGGACTTCAACTCCCAGAATTCCCCAGCCAGCATGGCTGGCTGGGGAACTCTGGGAGTTGAAGTCCACAAGTCTTAAAATTGCTAAGGTTGGGAACCCCTGAGTTAGAGAAAGGAAACCTCTCCAGTCCTACAGAAGCTTGCTGAAAGTCGCAGTCTGCAAACCTTTCAAGGACATTCTAGCAGGTGTGAAGAAGATAGCAGAGGGGTCCCATAACAAAGAGAACATGTTTACATGAGCTATATCTGGACATCTGTGGGTTTTGGCTGGGAAAGTCATTGTTATATGTTCTGGTCTGATGCCGTGGGATCAGTTAGAGTTAGTTTAATGTCAACCTCCAACTCAAGTATCCAAATAAAAGCCCAGGATTATTTTCATTTCTGAAAAGCTTACTGTTTACTGAATACCTTGCCTTCACTAGGCCCTAACCCCTGGACCAGCTGGACTCTGAGAGCCACTCTCAGAAGCAGGGGCTCCTCTTAGCTAAAACCCTAACTCCTACAAAAACGGAAGGAAATGAGCTTGTCTCCTGAGTAGCAGGCATTGCTGTGGAATGTGACTCAGTGCTGCTGCTCTCAAGGAAATAATCCAACCACTATAAGGATTCCCCCCCTCCCCCCCCACCCTAGCAACCAACTGAAACATAAAATATGCATACAAGCCTTGACTTAAAGTCCCACAAAGCACAAATCTGGAGCAAGGACTTGGATTCGGACAGGACCAGTTTTGGGTAGTTTCATTTATGAAATTGGAAAGAAAGAAAGAAAGAAAGAAAGAAAGAAAGAAAGAAAGAAAGAAAGAAAGAAAGAAAGGAAGAAAGGAAGGAAGGAAGGAAGGAAGGAAAAGAAAGGAAGGAAGGAAAAGAAAGGAAGGAAGGAGGAGGGAGGGAGGGAGGGAGGAAGAAAAAGAAAGGAAGGAGGAAGGAAAGAAGGGAGGGAGGGAGGGAAGAAAGAAAGAAAGAAAGGTGGTTTAGCTGCCTTAGAAGAACTGCCTTCCCAAACTCTTCCAATTGTACACAATCTGCAGAACGGAGCCATCCTTTTGACTATATCCTGCTTCTCCAGCCACTTTAAATTATAAGTAGTCCTCAATTTACGACCACAATTGAGCCCAGAATTTATGTTGCTAAATGAGAAATTTGTTCAGTGAATTTTGTTCCATTTTACAACTTTTCTTGCCACATTTGTTAAATGAATCACTGCAGTGTTAAACTAGTAATATGGTTGTTAAATGAACCTGGCTTCCCCATTGACTTTGCTTGTCAGAAGGTCACAAAAGGTGATCATGTGACCCCGGGACACTGCAACGGTCGAAAGTTAAGAACCAGTTTGTCAAGCATCTGAATTTTGATCATGTGGCTATGGGGATGCTGAAAAAGTTGTAACTGTGAAAAATGCACATAAGCCACTTTTTTCAGGGCCGTTGTAACTCTGAACAGCCACTAAATGAACGGTTGTAAGTCAAGGACTATTTGTCCATGAGTCTTGTGCGTCGTTTTCACTGTGTGATCTCCCCATTCAATGTGCTGAAAGGGGCCTTCAGCGTTGAAGTCGGTATTGTCTTGCAAGACCCTTTCCCAGCTCAATGACGGAAACACACCAGTGCAGTGGGATTATGTGCCTCACAAGCAGCAGGCTACTCAATACACAGCCAGCTAAATCCTCAAGCCCTTCTTTGACACACACCCAGCTCTTCCATCAGCCACGCATTCAAATCCCACCACACACACACACACACACACAAAGAGCTAGGTTGCCACCCTGCACAAAAGCCAGGAGCAGCCCTTTTCTACCTCTCACGACTGAGCATCCTGTAGCAGAGCAATTACTTGCACTACTGGCACATCGGCTCCTGCCTAAGCTGCACTCCTCCTGTCCTCCTTGATGTGCAAAATGTGTGCTGTGCCAAATGGCTGTGGGGTATAGTGACTTACTCCAGGAGACGAACTGGTGCAGGGCCAGACTGCCAGAGAGAGAAGCTGCTTTTGCCCTTCATTTTACATTATTCATAGGGTCAGTTGCCCCCTTATGCTTGCTTGTGCTTCACTGCGGAGACTGACTGCCATGAACTGTGGGCAAGGGGGAATGAAGGGGGGGAGGGGAAATGCTTGGGGAAACAAAAGTAAGTGCTGCACCTCCTCCAGACGCTGTTTCGTGTCACCCAGCCGGAAGGAGGGGTCCACATAACAACCTGTGCTAGAATTGACCATTAGGGAATCATCTTGCCTGGACCATATTGGATACACTGGAGGGAGCAATGAGAGACAGGGAAGGGAGGGAAGAGTAGAACTTAAGGATTCGGGGGTGTAATTTTCAATTCTGGCTTTGAACTACTGCAATGCACTTGATCTCTAATGAGCTATACCTTTTTCAACAAATGGAGCCAAGGATTATTTCTATTTAGAGCAGGGGTAGTCAACCTTGGCTCTTTATGACTCGTGGACTCCAACTCCCAGAATTCCTGAGCCAGCATAAAAGAGCCAAGGTTGACTACCCCTGATTTAGAGGTTTAAGTTGTGCTAGGTCTGACACACACAGTTTCCAGTGATTAAATCATCTTACTATTGTGAATGGTATTAATGCATTGATTCTCTAGGAATATTTTTGTCACACACATATACCGTATGTAGTACTGGGTCATTTTCCTCAATAAATAAATTGAACCAAGTTTTTGTCTCATTTGTTTAATGGGGCATTCTCTGTCTATGTTTAGGCTTTATGTGGGAACAGATCATACTTTAGATCATATTTATGCAGAAATATTAAAAATCCAAAGGGTTCACAAACTTTTTTAGCCCACTGCAATTTTCTCAGATTGTGTTTCCAGAGGGAGGGGGAAGGAGCTTGCTAACAATGTCCTTTGTATGGAATGTTAGCAATGGAAATATTTTCTGTTCAAAGAAATTAAGATATGAAAATCAGAATATTTTATGGAGTGTTTCCATAGCTAGGTGCCAGAAAGGTTGGGGGCCGCTGGTTTAAAAGGTATTCCGTCGCCCTACTATCTAAACCGCAGGGCCAAACAGTCCTAGTGGCACATAACTAGAGCCTTGTATTTCTCTTGCTAGATAAGTGGGGGGAGGGGAACACCACCCCTTAGAGCCCCCCCATTAAGGGCTTGGCAGCAGGCTTATTANCCCTAGCAACCAACTGAAACATAAAATATGCATACAAGCCTTGACTTAAAGTCCCACAAAGCACAAATCTGGAACAAAGACTTGGATTCGGACAGGACCAGTTTTGGGTAGTTTCATTTATGAAATTGGAAAGAAAGAAAGAAAGAAAGAAAGAAAGAAAGGAAGGAAGGAAGGAAGGAAGGAAGGAAGGAAGGAAGGAAGGAAGGAAGGAAGGAAGGAAGGAAGGAAGGAAGGAAGGAAGGAAGAAAAAGAAAGGAAGGAAGGAGGAAGGAAGGAAGGAAGGAAGGAAAGAAAGAAAGAAAGAAAGAAAGAAAGAAAGAAAGAAAGAAAGAAAGAAAGAAAGAAAGAAAGAAAGAAAGAAAGAAAGAAAGAAAGAAAGGTTTAGCTGCCTTAGAAGAACTGCCTTCCCAAACTCTTCCAATTGTACACAATCTGCGGAATGGAGCCATCCTTTTGACTATATCCTGCTTCTCCAGCCACTTTAAATTACAACTTTCCTTGCCACATTTGTTAAATGAATCACTGCAGTGTTAAACTAGTAATATGGTTGTTAAATGAACCTGGCTTCCCCATTGACTTTGCTTGTCAGAAGGTCACAAAAGGTGATCATGTGACCCCGGGACACTGCAAGGGTCAAAAGTAAGAACCAGTTTGTCAAGCATCTGAATTTTGATCATGTGACTATGGGGATGCTGAAAAAGTTGTAACTGTGAAAAATGCACATAAACCACTTTTTTCAGGGCCGTTGTAACTCTGAACAGCCACTAAATGAACGGTTGTAAGTCAAGGACTATTTATACATGAGTCTTGTGCGTCGTTTTCACTGTGTGATCTCCCCATTCAATGTGCTGAAAGGGGCCTTCAGCGTTGAAGTCGGTATTGTCTTGCAAGACCCTTTCCCAGCTCAATGACATGGAAACACACCAGTGCAGTGGGATTATGTGCCTCACAAGCAGCAGGCTACTCAATACACAGCCAGCTAAATCCTCAAGCCCTTCTTTGACACACACCCAGCTCTTCCATCAGCCACGCATTCAAATCCCACCACACACACACACACACACACACACACAAAGAGCTAGGTTGCCACCCTGCACAAAAGCCAGGAGCAGCCCTTTTCTACCTCTCACGACTGAGCATCCTGTAGCAGAGCAATTACTTGCACTACTGGCACATCGGCTCCTGCCTAAGCTGCACTCCTCCTGTCCTCCTTGATGTGCAAAATGTGTGCTGTGCCAAATGGCTGTGGGGTAGAGTAGTGACTTACTCCAGGAGACGAACTGGTGCAGGGCCAGACTGCCAGAGAGAGAAGCTGCTTTTGCCCTTCATTTTACATTATTCATAGGGTCAGTTGCCACCTTATGCTTGCTTGGTGCTTCACTGCGGAGACTGACTGCCATGAACTGTGGGCAAGGGGGAATGAAGGGGGGGAGGGGAAATGCTTCGGGGAAACGAAAGTAAGTGCTGAACCTCCTCCAGACGCTGTTTCATGTCACCCAGCCGGAAGGAGGGGTCCACATAACAACCTGTGCTAGAATTGACCATTAGGGAATCATCTTGCCTGGACCATATTGGATACACTGGAGGGAGCAATGAGAGACAGGGAAGGGAGGGAAGAGTAGAACTTAAGGATTCGGGGGTGTAATTTTCAATTCTGGCTTTGAACTACTGCAATGCACTTGATCTCTAATGAGCTATACCTTTTTCAACAAATGGAGCCAAGGATTATTTCTATTTAGAGCAGGGGTAGTCAACCTTGGCTCTTTATGACTGGTGGACTCCAACTCCCAGAATTCCTGAGCCAGCATAAAAGAGCCAAGGTTGACTACCCCTGATTTAGAGGTTTAAGTTGTGCTAGGTCTGACACACATAGTTTCCAGTGATTAAATCATCTTACTATTGTGAATGGTATTAATGCATTGATTCTCTAGGAATATTTTTGTCACACACATATATGTAGTACTGGGTCATTTTCCTCAATAAATAAATTGAACCAAGTTTTTGTCTCATTTGTTTAATGGGGCATTCTCTGTCTATGTTT